TAGTTTGACCTTCTCGTTGAGGTTGTTGACGTAGAGGGTGGAGTTGGGGACCGCATTGGCCATGGTCGGGGATGGGGGCGGGGAGTGCGGTGGAGGCGTCTGGGAGTGGGGTCGGACCTGGGCCTGGGCCTGGGCCTGGGCCTGAGGTGACAAGGGCGACTCGGGTGTGTGGGGGGGGAGGGGGGGGATGCGGGATCAGATCAGAGTCAAGCTCGGCTTAGGGATGTTATGATGGGGTGAGACCTGCTGCAGTGCAGAATCTGGGGGAGAGGGTGTGGGGCGAGCAGGAGCGGCGGGCAAGCGCGGGCACGGCAGGACGGAGCTATGCGTCGGTGGGCGGGTGCGGGCCGAGATCAAGAGCGTCTGGGGCAAGCGAAGCCTCGACCGAGTGCGACCAAGCGCGAAAGGCATCGGCTTCGGCCATGAGTTTGAGGGTAGCGTCATTAGCTTCTGCCTGCAATGCCTCGATGGAAGCGTCCAGCTCTTCCGGGTCGATTGCCAGCGGGCCGAGCTCTCCGATGGCAGCGCGGAGACCTTCGACAGCCTTTGTCAGCATTCCCACCTGATCGGTGATGATGTGCTGGACTTCGGGAGAAACAGCTTGGCCCGCTGGATCAGCACTTCCAGCAGGAGCAGGACCACCATCACCACCAGCAGCAGCAGCAGAAGAAGAAGAGGACCCCCCATCCTCCAGCGTTGTGGCGCCCGGCGAGTCAAAGGCCATCGGAGGGGCGTGCGTGGCCAGAGCGTGGACAGCCGTGGCCATGACCTGGTGCAGGGTAGCCAGGTGGCTTTGCAGCTCGTCGACAGGAGAGGTGGAGGTAGGAGTAGCCGGGGTGGTCATGGTAGTGGCAAAGGGAAGGGGAGGGAGAGGTGGGCGAGGGGAAAGGTGGTGGCCGCCACCGCCCGCGCGATCGCCACCGCCCGTGCGATCGCCACCGCCTGTGATCGCTACCGCCCACACGATCGCCACCGCCTGCGAGGAGACAAGGCCCGCCAGACCGCTAGAGTAGCAACCACCCGACTCGTTGGACTCTGAAGGCAAGAGTGGACGTACTGGTGGCGGGAGTATAAGGACCCACTTTCTCTGTGTGTTTGTGTGTGTGTGTGTGTGCTTGCTCCTTGCCTGTCTTGTGGTCGGTCATGGCGGACGATGCTGGTCACGAGGTCCTTGTGCCTGCGAAGGGCTATGAAGTCGTTGAAGACGTTGTGAATTCTGGGAATGCTGGAGATGCCGACCCGGCTGGAGATGCCGCCCCGGCTGAAGATGCCGACCCGGCTGGAGATGCTGACCCGGCTGAAGATGCCGCCCCGGCTGAAGATGCCGACCCGACTGGAGATGCCGACCCGGCTGGAGATGCCGACCCGGCTGAAGATGCCGACCCGGCTGGAGATGCCGATAGTGCGGTCGCTGCTGCTTACACCATCGAATCCATTGCTTCCACGCCAGCCACCAACGTCCTAACATCAGCCGCTATGTGGGGCAAGCTGAGTGTGAAGAAAGGCCACAAGTTCATGTCATCGTTCAGCTCGCGATTTGTGCTCGCGCTCCGTGAATCGCCTCCTGCGCCGCAGATGCTGCTTGTATACAAGAATGCCAAGGCCAAGAAGCCTGCTCACGTTCTCGACCTCTCCAGCGCCACCCTCGATGCCTCGCCAGCGTCGGCCGACGACGGCTCGCTCGCCTTTGCCATCCGGGCTCCCAACCCGTCGTCGTCTGGCAGCCTCACCGAGTTCCTGTTTGTGGCCGACTCGGACGGCGCCCGAAACAACTGGATTTCGGCGCTCAGGAATCTAGCGGCCTCGCCGGTACGCTCGGCATCGCCACCCTCGCCATCGGCTTCCGTCCCAGTCTCGCCGTCGGTCGGCATCCGTGCCGCTGACATTCCCGAGACCGAGCCGCTGCCCGAAAGGCCCGCCACTGTCTCGGCCCAGCTCCGCCGCGCCAACGTTGTGTCCAAAACCAACCCCACCGTCCTCATTTCGGTCTCGGGTGTGACTCAGGTTGAGAAGAAGAAGGATCTCATCTTCACCATTGCTACTGTCACCTCATTGCCGGTCTATCGCGACAGGCTGCCGGCCCAGTCACGAACTCACGGCATGGTCGAGTTCACCGTCTCGCGCGTCGCCAACAACTTTGAGTGGCTTCACGACGAGCTCAAGGCCGACTTTCCGTACATCGTTCACCCTGCTCTCCCGTCCAAGGAGGCGCTGGCCTTTGGCAACTCGCAGTTCCTGCAGGCTTCGTACGAGTCGTACCTCCGCCGCCTCGCCGCTCATCCGGATCTCGCCGCGAACCCCATTCTCGTCCGCTTCCTTACCTCGATGGAGGCCATCGAGAAGCACAAGCGCGTCAAGTACAAGCCGGCCAAGGACCTCGACGGCCGCTTTGCATTAGATCTCGATGCTGCTATCGCCTTTGGCAAAGGTATCAAGACCATCCGCGCCGCCCTCGACAAGATTGACTCGCTCTCGCGCAAGACCATCCTCACCCTTGACAAGACCGCAGCTGTACTCTCCAGCATTTCCGCGCTTCCGCCGGCCATTGTGCCCGACATCGGCGACCTTGTCCGTAGCACAGACTTCACCGCCGTCGTCGAGACCCACCTTCTCGCCTCGCAGCTGTTCTTCGAGCTCGAGCTCGGTGAGTACTCAGGTCTCACCCGCTCAGTCACTCACGCACTCACTCCGCGTATGCACGCATCGACTGCCCTCCGCAAGGCCGACTCGGCCGTTGCTTCCAAGCAAGCCAAGTACGACAAGCTCTTTGCAAAGTCGGGCGATAACGACGCCATTGTCGCTGCACGCGACGCGCTCCGCGACGCCCAGGCCACCCGGCAGAATGCAGAGTCACAGCTGGAGGCTGCCACAGATGCTACAGCCACCGCTCTTGCCCGCTACAACCGCGACAGGGTCTTTGACGTTCGCGACGCCCTCGTCAAGACCGTCTCGCGCACCATCCGCGCCGCTCGCGAGCGCCAGGGCCTCCTCGCCGGCCTTGCCGTCCAGCTCCAGGCCGTCTCCTTCACTCCCCGCTCCAAGTACGCTCTCGAGCGCGCCCGAGTCCTCTACTCGGCCCGGACCCACCTCACCCGTGGCATCAACATCTTCCACACTTCGGATCCTATCGCTGACTCGCCGAACGCCTTGTTTGGCACCGCCGGCTCGACCGATTCGGACACCGATCCCGCCGCCGCCTCCTCCACTGCCACAGGAACAACCGCTGGTACAGATACTACTGCTCCTGCTCCTGCTCCTGCTCCTGCCTCTACTCCTGCTGTAGACCCCGTTGACGACGCTGACAACGCCGCCAACGCGGGCCCAAACGTCGTCGGAGGCTCGTCATCACCAGCTGATTCCGATCCCGCTGATTCTGACCCCGCTGACCCTGTCACAGACCCTGCTGGCCAACCACTCCGCGACTCTCCCATCAACCCATTTCTGTAGCCCGTAAAATGATACTCATTTCGCGTCGCAGCCGCAGCCGCACGCCCCCGCGCTGTTGTGCTCTGACCAAGAGGGAGTCACACCGCACTCGACGCGACGGGCGGCCATGTCGTGGTTCCGCAAGAAGAAGACGGAGCCGCGGACAAGCGCCTCCACACACAGCGGGGGAACACAGTACGCTCATCCCCCTCCCCTCCACCTCTTCTTGCCCTCTCCCCTTCCCCGTCCCTCCCCCTCCGCTTGTCCACCTACTTACCACCGCCACATGTGCGCCTTCAAGGACTTTGCCATCGACCCCTCGCTCTTTGCTGACCCGGTCTTTGACGCCGAGGGCAACGTCATCGGTGGTGGGAGCGGAGCTGCTGGTGTTGCACATGGACATGCGGGTGGTAGCATGGGCATGGGCATGGGCATGGGCTTGGACGCTGGTGCTGGCCTCGGTGGTATGGACCTCACCGAACTCATGGGCGGCGACCCGTCACTCGCACGCTCCATGCAAGTCACCGATGCCGACCTCAACGATCAGAGCCTGCTGGCTGAGCTTGCCGCTCTGGAAGCTGTCGCAGAGCGTGCTGAGCCACAAGCTTCGGTATCGCGATCGGTGCCCGAGATGGAGGCACGCATCCAGCAGCTCTCCCAGGAGACCACCGCCCTCAAGGCTGCCGGCGACTACGTGGGCGCGCGGGCAGCATTCGCCGAGGTCAAGACACTTAAGGCTGCCATCGCAGACGTCGAGGGTCGCACGTCGATTGCACTGGTCGACCCTACAGGTGGGAGCGCGCCCGCGACCCCAGCCCCACCTGCACAATCAAGTCCGTCGATCTCCTCTGATGACGACGATGACGCTGTCCAGGTCCAGGTCACCGACGCAGACCTCAACAATCCGGACCTCCTCGGCGAGCTGGCCGAGCTCTGCGGCCATGACATTGCCCCGCATTCACCCGCCAGGTCCCCAAGTCCGCCGCCCGCATCCAAGAGTGACGACGAGGTCGAGGTCGAGGTCACCGACGCAGACCTCAACGACCCGGAACTGCTGGGGGAACTCGAGGGACTTGGCTCAGGCTCAGGCGCACATGTCGTGGCTCGTCCTACACCGAGCGACGCAGAGCGCGATGCAAGCCTCGCGCAGCTTGAGGCCGCCAAGCGCGAGTGTCTTTCGGCCTGCAAGGCGGCGCGCGAGGCCGGCGACGCCGCCGCCGAAAAGGCCGCCACCGACCGCTACCGTCAGATCACGGCCCAGATTCGCAAGGTCAAGGCTGGCGGCCACGTCTCGCTACTCCCGACCGCTGCAGCTTCGCCTGCTTCTCCAACCCCTGCCACGCGCCTCGCCCAGCTCGAAGCCGCCAAGCGCGAGTGCCTTTCGGCCTGCAAGGCGGCGCGCGAGGCCGGCGACGCCGCCGCCGAAAAGGCTGCCACCGACCGCTACCGTCAGATCACGGCCCAGATTCGCAAGGTCAAGGCTGGCGGCCACGTCTCGCTACTCCCGACCGCTGCAGCTTCGCCTGCTTCTCCAACCCCTGCCACGCGCCTCGCCCAGCTCGAAGCCGCCAAGCGCGAGTGCCTTTCGGCCTGCAAGGCGGCGCGCGAGGCCGGCGACGCCGCCGCCGAAAAGGCCGCCACCGACCGCTACCGTCAGATCACGGCCCAGATTCGCAAGGTCAAGGCTGGCGAACCGGAGACACCACCAGAGCCAGACTCGTCCGACGATGAGCCTGAGGTTCATGTTTCAGATACCGACCTCAACAACCCTGCCCTGCTCGGTGAGTTGGCTGCACTCCACGGTGAGTCGTCCGATGCCGAGTCCGAGAGCGACGCGAACGTCCAGTCTGCTGCACCGAGCCTTCCCCAACTCGAGGCTGCCAAGCGCGAATGCGTCGCGGCATGCAAGGCTGCGCGTGAGGCCGGCGATGCGGCCGCCGAGCAGGCTGCCACCTCGCGCTTCCGCGAGCTGTCGGCCCAGATCCGTGCGCTCAAGGCAAGTGGCGCTGCATCCTCGGATCCTGTGCCTGCTCCTAGCCTTGCCCAACTTGAGGCTGCCAAGCGCGAATGCGTCGCGGCATGCAAGGCTGCGCGTGAGGCCGGCGATGCGGCCGCCGAGCAGGCTGCCACCTCGCGCTTCCGCGAGCTTTCGGCCCAGATCCGTGCGCTCAAGGCAAGTGGCGCTGCATCCTCGGATCCTGTGCCTGCTCCTAGCCTTGCCCAACTTGAGGCTGCCAAGCGCGAATGCGTCGCGGCATGCAAGGCTGCGCGTGAGGCCGGCGATGCGGCCGCCGAGCAGGCTGCCACCTCGCGCTTCCGCGAGCTTTCGGCCCAGATCCGTGCGCTCAAGGCAAATGTCACAGAAGATTCTTCGCCGGCACCGAGTCCAGTGGCTGAAAGCGTGACGCCGGCGCACATTGACGCGCTGGCGCGAGCGTACAAGAAGCAGGCAATCGCCGTGAAGAGTCAGGACATGGAGCTTGCCAAGCTCTTGCTCCATGTCTCCAAGGTGCTTCCGTGGTGGCTCACTGCAGAAGCCAAGGCGGCCGGCACTCCTGTTCCGCCAGCACCGACATCGCTGGCGCTTGATGGCTCGTTCCAGGCGCAGACCAAGACGGCAGAGACACAGATTCGAGCGCTGGAGACACTGCGGGCCAAGCTCGAGGCTCAGCGCGAGGCGACTGAGTCGCTCTTTGAGATGGCGCAGGCGACCGGTGACAAGAGCGGTGGTGCCAAGTTCCGAGCGATGTACAACGATGTCACACTCGAGCTTGGTCTAGTGGAGCGCGCCATGGCGGTTGGCCTCCCGCTGCTCCCGACTGATCTCGAGCACGCCGAACTGCTGTACTCGTTCGCTTGTCCACTCCTTGACGAGAACGTGTGCGAGGTGTACATTTCCGGTGTGCGCGAGCTAGACAAGCTTTCACGATCGATGAGCGACTACTCGCCGCACCTTGAAATTCGGTTCCCGTATCCATCGGACGAACCGCAGGTCAAGACAACGTCGACGCTCTCGGATCTTGGCGAGGGCCTGGTGTGGTCGCATCGCTTCGATCTGCCGCGCAAGCGGTCAACGCTGCGGCTGGCACAGCGCAAGCGCATCGCCATTGTGGTCGTGCACTCACGCTTCCTGCGGAGCGACGTCGAGCTTGGCAGAGCCGAGATTCCTTTGGAAGCCATCCTCTCCAAGTCGCAGTCGACGCTCACTGTCCCATTCTCGCCGCCCAACTCGAAGAAGCGGACCAAGGCTCATGTCGAGGTCTCGCTCTCGGTCCGTTATCCGTTTTCAGAGACCAAAACCGCCGATCGGCGTAAGTACGCCGTCGACTGGATCTCGCTGTATGGCCGCACCTCTCCGCTAGGGGGCGGCGGCCAAGCTGCGTCGGCGTCCTCATCTCCGGCGGCCAAGCCGGCAGCGCCAAAGTCACCGGCGCCAGCCTCGCGCCCGCCGCCGACGTCGTCTGCAGCATCGGACCTGCCGGACAGTGCCATCATGGACGAGCACAACTGTGCTGCGAACATGGTTTCGGCCGAGGTTCTCTCCTGGTACATCGAGGAGCTCGGCAAGGAAGTGGCAAGCGCGAGAGCCCGGCGGCTGCCGCATGCAGACGCACTGAGCACCGAACTCGAGGGCGCGCAGTTTCAGCTGCAGATCCTGGGCGTCCAGGTGAGTACCGGCCAGCTGACGCCGGCCGACTATGTTGCCAAGCTCCGCACCAAGATCAGCAGCGAGATCACGCTGGCCAAGCAACTCCGCGCCGCCGGCAATAAGCGTTCGGCGCTTCTGACCATGAAGCGCATCAAACTGATGAAGGCTGATGTCGCCCAGGCTCAACAGGCGCTGTAAACACCTTCGACGGTTACGAGATGTCGCACTGCGCCAGTTTGTACATCCCGTGGATATAAAGTGGGACGCCGACCAACATGCAGCTGCTCAGCGAGCAAGGACCAAATCCGGCCATCGGCACCTCTCCCTAGCTCACCGGCCATGACCGAGGCACTCGCCACCCTCTCGGCGCTCCTTGACTCGGACTCGGACTCGGACACAGGGAGTGCGGCACCGGGCGTGGCTCCCTACAACCCCATCCCTGGCCCAGGCCATGACCCCGGCTCCACCCCTCACACCGCCTCGCAGATGCCCATGCCCCACCGGCCGTAGATTCTTCGTCAAAGCTGGCGGCCTTTGCCGGCCTCGCCTCACGCAAGCGCAAGCGCACAGACGAGGCCACAGGAGCTACAAGCTACGGAGCATCGTTTGCAGAGAGTCAACGGAGGCTCAAGCGGGCCAAGCAGGACAAGCTCGCCAAGGATGCCGCTCGCGCTGCCGCAGAAGCCAAGGGCGCCCGCTCGCAGGTGGCGCGCAAGCCGGCAGCTACCTTTGGCCTCCGAACGGGAGCACGAGGCGGATCGGGCAGCAGTAGCGGTGGTGCAGGCGTGGTGGAGGCTGGATCGGGCTCCAAGGAAGCATTTTCCGGCCTCTGGCTCCGTAATCGGGTCGTATCGTCAGAGGCCATGGCGCGACACATGGCGCAGCGCAAGTACTACCCGCTGGGCGGGCTCAAGGACGCCGTGGTATGCGGCGACATCCCGGGCGAGTGGGTGGTGATCGGCGTGGTGGCGAGCAAGTCGCGGGTCCAGGTTTCGGGCCGCGGCGGTAAGTACGTCATCTGGACGCTCTCGGATCTGGCCGGCGTCTCGCTCTCGCTCTTTGTCTTTGGCGGCGCTTTTGAGGCGCTGTACGCCACGCCTGTCGGCTCAGTCTTTGCCCTCCTCAATCCAAAGGTCCTTCCGTCGCGCGAGCGTGGCAAGGGCCTTGCCATCTCCATCACAGGCACCGACAACGTCCTGATGCTGGGCAAGTCGCGCGACTACGCCGTGTGTAAGTCGCTGACCAAGGCCGGAGCCAAGTGCACCAACGTCATCAATGGCTCCAAGACCCAGTACTGCGAGTACCACGTCATGAAGGAGTACAACCGCGTCCGCTCCTCGCGCATGGAGTTCAACTCGGGCTTTGGTGGCAAGACCAAGCCCGACGTGGCCTCGGCCCGCCGCAACCTCTCGGTCGGCACCTTTCAGCATCGCCGGGTCGCTGCTCCGCGGCAAAGCGCCAAGGCATCGCCGGTGGCTACCCTCCGTGCCAAGCTCGCCAAGGCCGGCCGCCGCAAGGCGACGGTGCCATCATCGGCCGACTCGCGCTCGCTTCTCCGCCAGATCCAGCGCGATATGACCAAGGAGACCACGCCCGGTCGGCCGACCCGCGGCAAGCGCCAGGTGCTCGAGTCCAAGGTTGCTGCTCTTGCCGACGAGGACCGAGCCAAGTTCCGTGCCATCGCCGCGGCCCGCAAGGAGGCCCGCAACAGCTCGGGCCCGGGTGCGTCTGGCAAAGCCGTCCACATTAACGGTCACGCCCGTATTCCAGGCATGCGCAGCGAGCCTATCGCCACGAATTGCGAGGCAATCATCGGCCACGGCAAGGCGCCGGTTCTTGGCCGCGGCCTCCACGGCTCGGGCTCCATGTCTATCCCGCTGGCGGGCCTCGGCAACCTCCAGCACGCGCGAGCCATCATCTCGACCTCGGCCGACTTTGCAGCCAAGAAGGCTGCCGCTCTCCAGCGCGCCGCCGCCCACGACGAGGCCGTCCGCCGCGCGCGCGAGCGCGACGAGGCCAAGGCCCGCCACGCCGCCCAAGCCGTCAACGCCGACCGCATCCGCCGCGCAGCCGCGCTCCTCAAGGCCAAGCGCGAGCGCGGCGATCGCGAGCCCGAAAATGCAATGCCACGGCTGCCGCGCAAGTCAGAGGTCGCCGCCCGCAAGGCCGCCGCACCCGCCGCGCCGCGCTCAGCACTGGCCGCCGCCATGGGCCGTCGGGTCGACCTCAAGTCAACTGCCGGCCAGGCGGTGCTCTCTGCCAAGTCGGCGCACGCCGCTGATGTGGCTGCCGCCAAGAAGAAGGAACGTGATGCCCGTCTGGATGAGCTTGAGAAGCGCGACAACATGGTGATGCAGATGGCCGGCATCTTCGAGCAAGAGTGTAAGGCCGCCAAGTGCGCGCAGTGCAACAAGATCACCCTGTCAGTGACCAAGGTCTGCGCTGCGGCAGGCCACACCATCAAGTGGATCACCACTACCAAGCGCTGGTTCAAGTGCGGCCAATGCCGCCATCGCGTCACCATCATCAACTCGCGCTTCCCGAATCGCCCATGCACCAAGTGCGGCGCCGCCGCCTTTGAAAAGGCGCCGATGTACCGCGGCTCGACCGATCCCACTAACCTCCACGACGCCGTCCGTGGCGTTCATGCCCCGATCTCGGGCAACATCAGCTACGTCGGATGAGTGCCGAGCCATAATACAGGCGGTGATACTTCCAAGCGCCTGACCCGGGCGGCGGCCAGACGACGGGCGGCCGACAGCGACACAACACCAGTCAGCGCCACACAGTTCCAGCCACACCTCACGATAGCACCACTTTGCAGGGACTGGCGATGGCAGCAACAACAGGTGCACGGTTTGACGGCAGCGAGCTGAACAGGCGTGCGGCAGTAGACGAGTACACCGCGGCCGACCCGGCCACAGAGGCCCGGGTGGCCATGTACGAGCGCGACCGGGCCAAGCGCGAGTCTGCACGGGCCTCGGTGGAGACTCTGGCCTGGATTGTGGCCGCCATGGCGGTCCTCTACTACTTTGACGTCGTCAACACCCTGCGCACAGACCCACGTGTCCTGTGGTAGGTGCTCTACATGGGGGGGGGGGGGGGGGCAGGGGGTTAGGGGGCGGGGGGGAGGACTCACATGGAACGGGCGTGGGTGTGGGACGGCGCAATGATGATGCGGCCTGGGATGGCGCAATGGCGTGGGACGGCGTGATGATGATGTGGCGATGGTGGCGATGGTGGTGATTGGGAGGGGGAGGAGAACAGGAACTGGCTGATGCTGGGCGTGGTTGCGTTCTCTGTCTTTGGGGCCATCGGGGCGTACTTTGGAATCTATCTGGCGTACGTAGTGAAGAAGACCGATGACATGGCTGAGAGCTCGGCCATTCCTGTGGCGGTTGTCTTTCTGCTCATCGGTGCCACGGCCATGACCATTGCCGTCTGGCCGGTCTGGGGCTTTGTCACGCCTGTCATCGGCTTTGTCGAGTTCATGGGCTTTGTCATGATCACTTCGTTCCTCCCGTAGTTGCAGCTGTACATACTGCATCGGCAGCTATTTGTAGCATGTCTCTGCTCCCTACCGTTGGCGTGCCGGCCATTGGCGTGCTGCCCATTGAGTTGCCGCCCATCGACGTGCCGATCATCGACTCGCTTGGCCATCATCGACTCGCCGGTCGCCAGCTCGTAGCCAGCTCGCGGCGAGATGATGACCGCGTCAGCCACTAAACGTACCGCACATGGCCCAGCGATGGCCTAGCCTGGTGGCAGTGGCAGGTCCCCGATACCGTGGCCCAGTATCTGACCACTACTGTCTACCGAAAGGTCAACGCAGCAGCTAGCAGCCCCACCCGCCAGCCGCCCGCCGCTGGCCGCTGCACCCGACGTCCACCCGACTTCCACAGGCAGGTACCGAAGAAACAAAGGAATGGAGGGCCGCAAAGCGCATCTGCTCAAGCTGTTCAGCTACACGGCATGCGCTGCTGTGGGGACTTACATGGTGTTTGGCCTCGAGTACCGTCCGCTGCCCGACGGCTCGGACCATGTCTTCACCCGGGCTCAGAGCTGGGCGAAGAACCAGCTGGACGAGTTCTGGATGCTGGACGAGGAGCGCGCGGCTCGCGCTGCTGCACGCGCTGCTGCGGCTGCTGATGCTGCGTCACGCAGAGCTGCTGCCGCCGCAGATCGGCTCCGCGCCGCGTCGGCTGCCGCCCGCTCCGACACGGGCGCCGCCGCGTCGTGACGCGTCTGCTGCGCGCGCGGCGAGTGTCAAGAAGGCGGCTTTTACCTCGGATCAGAGCGGCTTGTGGAAGACAGCGACGAGCGGGACGTGGTCTGAGCCAAAGAGCGAGTTGGGAATGCCATTGAGGAGGCGCGGAGTGTGCGCAAGCTCGCTGAGCCGAGGATACTTGGCCAGGGTGGCGGGCGAGGAGAGCGCATCGCGCCAGCCGGGCGGCCCATCGTCGCGGGTCACGGCCTCGATGTTGGGCAGCGAGAGGAGACCATCGAGCTCGAGACCGTTGGCTTGCGACGTGCTGGCTGGGGTGTGGAAGATGTAGTCGATGGTCCATGAGCGCTTGTAGTTATAGGTGGTGAACGGCGGCTCGCCGGCGCCGCCGACGCCTGGGTACTGCGCGTAGGCCGAGACAAGCGGGAGCGGGAGCCATGGCTCGAGAAAGTCGGAAACCATGCGGGCATAGACAGCAGAGTCAGGCCCGTTGTTAAAGTCGCCGGCCACTACCACCGGAACGTGCTGGAAAAGCGCCCGCACGCCGTCATCAAGCGCACCGGCCGACGCCACGTCGGACAGCCGCTCGCGCGCCGCAGACGGCAGCTCCGCCGCTGCCGAAGCGCCGGTGCCGACCAGCGACGTCCGGCCGAGATTGATGCCATCGGCAGCAGCAAGCACATGGTTGTGGTCCGGAAGCGCAACGCCGGCTAAGCTCTGGGCGTCGTCGCCGCGGACCACAGCAGCGAGCTTGCGCATGACGTCGACAACAAGGCCCTCAAACTCGGCCAGCTCCGCCAGCTGGGTCTCGAGCTTGGCTGCATTCCAGTACAAATGAGTGGAGGCCACCAGCAGCAGGTCGCTCGAGACGGTGTCGGCGAGCAGGGCAGCGAGGCCGACCCGGTCATGGACATCATCAAAGACGATGGCCTGGGCGTGGACAAGCGAAAACCGGGCGGTGTTGTAGAAGATGGCGGTGCCGTCTTCCTTGGCGAGGCCCGACCATGACGACTCGTGTTCCGACGGCCGGCGGGCAGAGATCCACTTGAAGCCCATTGGCTCCATAAACGCCGCAAAGTACGGCAGCTGCGCCACCTCCTCGACGCACAGCACGTCGGGCGGCGCCGCCCCGTCGTCGCCAGGCACCATGGAGCAGATCTCATTGCGCAGCACGCGTGAACGGTCAGCCCAGCCCAGATGCTTGGCGGTAGCGTAAGGAAAGTGGTCCGGCGTGGCTAGATTGGCGGCGAGCGCGTTGAACTGGCCGATCGAAAACGATGCAGCCACTTTGGAGTTTGGCGACGGGTGGAGTGACGGCGAGGCAGCCTCGGGATCAGGCGGGAGCAAGTAGCGGCCATTGGCTGTTGCCGTCGAAGAGAGCCCACGAGCATCAGCAGCAGAAGCCATAATCAGTCCTGCACCAATCGGGAGGCAGTAGAGCTGCGAGCGAAGCAGACGGAGCGAGTTTGCGCCGCGTCTGAGCGAGAGAGAGCAGCGACGGGAGACAGTAGCAGTCAGAGCCAGGTGCATGCACCAGGGCGGGCGGGCGGGCGGGAGGGAGAGTGAGAGGAGGGGGAGGGGAGGGGGGGGATGGTGAAAAGAGATGTGTCCTGCACCTACACCCCCATCCCCAACCGACGTGGCACTCCCTTCCTCCCCCACTCTGCCGACTGCCTGCTGACCTGCGTGCGACCGCGTCTCTCTGTCTCAGTTGCTCTGGCTTCTTTCCCCATAGCATCGGCTCGATCTACGACACCTAGGCTCCTCCGAGGTGGCATCATTCCCATGCTCGCCTTCCTTGCTCTCGAACTTGCTACAGTAGCATTCGGCAACATAGTCGCTGCAGGGAGCCTTTAGAAAACACGCTCATGGCCTTCGTCGCGCCAAAATCGTCGCGCAGCTGGCGCAGCTGCTCCGTCTCGACCGACTCGGTCGACCTGTGCCCGCAACCGCCGCCTTGCGCCTCGGGCTCGGACCTTGGGCTTGGGCTCTATAACCACACCGCACTCGCCCTGAGGTGTGACGTCGAACGGGACTGGGAGGGCGGGATGGCTGAAGAATGGTGGGCCGTGGGCGAGGATGATGGCGAGGGATGGGCGGTGCAAGGAGGGGAGGAGGAAGAGGAGAGGGCTCCTGACTCGAGGTCGCTCCGTCTTGGGCATGCGGACGACGACGAATGGCTACTACCACGCGGAGGCGGGGGGGAAGACGGTGACGACGGCAGTTGCAAGTGGGAGATGGGAAGTGGCTGGCTGGCGCCAGAGTCTCCGCTGCGGGCTCCGCCGCCGGGGCCCGACGACGAGCTGTTGGCGCCGCTCCTGCCGCCACGCCCGCTGCCAGCGACAACAGCGCTGGATCCGGCGCTGCTCAAGCCGCTCGAACTCGCTCCGCTGACGGAGGAGTCGAGCGAAAAGGAGCTGGAGGAGTTCCAGCGATACGTCCGCAAGTCTCGGGCGGCGCTCGACGCGAGGCTTGCGGCCAGCAACCAGGTTGTGGACGCGTCGCGCGACGCGCGATCGCGCTCCGCCCGCTCTGCCATCTACCAACCGCTGCTGTACCTACCACCGGACCTCCGTGCTCCACTCTTTGCCAAGACTGCCGGTGAGTTTGAGCTCCCGCCATGCGAGCCGGAGCTGAAGCCGCTGCCGCTGGCAGGTAGCTCGCGCCTCGCCGATGCGTTCTCGGCGCGGGCAAGCAAAGCGCTGCGCGAGCTGGAGCACACCGCATTTGGCCTCTCACCGACGGCCAAGGCTGCACTTGCTGAGGAGGTTGTGGTTGAGCCGCGGTTTGCCCCGGGGCTCACGTCGTCACCAACCCGGTCGGACGTGCGCATCCCGTCGCCGCCGGCAGACAACGACGATGACGACGACGACCGGGATGCTACCTTACTTCCGCCAAGGCTGCAGCAGCTCACCTTTGACGACCTTGACCTCCCGCCGCTATCGTATCAGGCCGGCTCGGCCGCGTCGCAGGTCCTCGATCCGCTCAGCGTGGTGCCGTCGGGTGCGTCAGATCCCGCGCACCGTGTGGCAGTCTTTGGCTCACTCCCCCGTCGCTGCGCAGCGCAGCCGAATGGCAGCCGTCGCGGCGGCTGGTCAACCCGCGGGCGCCGTACGAACTCGACGTCGCGCTGCGGACGGCGGCATCGGCAGTGGGCCGTACCGACCTGGTCCATCTCTCGCCGCCCCGCCTTCCGCGAGCGTCTCCGCTCTCGCTCCACCATACTCGCCACGCTCACCACCACCCGCCCGCTGTGCAAGTTCGCGAGCGCGGGTCGCAGCACGGCGATGAGAGGTCTCTTTATGACATTCCAGATCCGGATCCGAGTCCAGGCACTTACTCGACGTTGTAGCCGATCTGCATCGCGCCAGACAAACGATGGTGATGAGGGTGAGTAGGTGCAGCGTCGCGTGGGGAAGGTGGGAGGGGGGGGGGGGGGGAAGAGTGAGAGAGCAGAAGAAGAAACTGCTAAAACGTACCAGCGAGCCACGACCCACGATCTCACCGAGGAAGAAGGCACCGACGACCTGGATGCCGTACGCGACCTTGGTGGCGGCCTCACCGACGGTGCCGGACGAGGAGTTGGCGGCCATCTCGGCCTGGCACTGCAGACAGCGAGTCCAGAGAAGGCCAGCCAGGCGGGAGCAAGATGAGCACAGCAGAGGAAGAAGTGGGGGTGGGGGGGTGGGGACTGGGTGAGTGCAGGAGGATGGCGGAGCAGCGGTGAACAAGCTGGGGCATGCGCCGGCCGTGTGGCGCTCAGGCGGGGAAGCGACCAAAAATGGACGCTGGTGGTGATCCCACGGCCTTTTGCGGACGAGGCGAGGAGCACGGCGACGGCCAGGGGAGCGGAGAAAGGCTAATGCGGTGGCGACATGGGACTAGTTGGAATGGTCTCTGAAAGGGGGATGCAGGGAAGGTAGCGTACCGCCTGCCAGCGCTGCGGCATGTTCTTCAACTGGTTGCCCGCAAACTCGAGGGCGTTGACGGACGGCTGCGAGCTGGTCATACCCTTGCCGGCGGCGTTGAGGGTGGCCGAGGCCGAGAGGACAGACGAGCCCACCTTGGAGAGCACAGACGTGACAGCGTTCATGGTCAGAGAAGAAAGAGATAAGGGGTACCAGTATTGACAGTTGACCGGCAACGAGCCGGGGCGGGCGACATGGTATTGGCAGAGACGCGGCAGCGGATCGGCCGCCCGCCCGCCCCGCCCGCCCGTCCACTCGCCGACTCGCCGCCGCCTCATTCCAGGGCACGACCCGCCGATCCGCCACGACGGCAGACCGGGATGCACAGCCCATATCAGGCCCCGAGCGTAGAGAAAACGTAGTATATGGGTAGCTGGTATGATGTGTTTCAGTTGTAGCCCTTCAAGGAAGAAATCGGGGAAGGCACGATGGCTGTGTGTGGCGGTGGGAGGCGGTGGTGGAGGTCAAGGTCACGGGCCGAGTCACACAAGAGCGAACGAGAGCGGAGAGTGTGTGAGGCGACGATGGTAGGGGCGAGGGGCGGGCGGTCGAGGAAGAGAAGCACTTGTGTTCTTGAATGAGCAGTTTGGGTGTGGAGCAAGGCGAGGCTACGGCCAAGACGCCACTGCTGTCGGGCGGGCAAGGGCCTGGCCCGTACTCGGGCGAGGCACCAGTTGCGGCTGTGCCCGTCGTCGACGACACCGAGGAAGAGGCCGGCCGGGCGTGGCAGCCGCCGGTCTGGTGCTGTCCGCCGTGCTTCCCGAGCCTGGTCCTCCTGTGCATCATGTTTCTGACCTTTGGGTACGTGATGTTGTGTTGGTGGTGGGTGGTGGTGGGTGGGTGGGGGGGGAGGGGAGGGGGGGAGGAGGGGCCCAGCGCGTCGAGGACGGCGCCACGGCGTGGATGGGCGAGGGTAACGCCTGCGACTGACGTGGAAGTGCGTGGTGGTGACTCGGCGCGGCATTGTGTGGAGGACAGGTCGTACTGGGTGTTCGACACGCCGGGCGCTATCCAGAAGCAGCTGACAGAGTGGTTTGGCCCGTCGTACACGGATGCGGACAACTTGATGCTGTACTCTGTGTACTCGCTGCCAAACACGGTGCTCCCGTTCTTCTCGGGCTACCTCATCGATCGCGTGCTCGGCATCCGGTTGGGCATTGTGGTGTTCTGCGGACTCGTGCTTGTGGGTGAGACTATTTTCTGCGTGGGCATTATGGCCAAGACGTACTGGGTGTGTGTGATGGGCCGGTTTGTGTTTGGCCTCGGCGGCGAGTCGCTGACGGTGGCGCAGAACACCATTACGGTGATCTGGTTCCAGGGCCCGCAGCTTGCGCTGGCGTTTGCGTCGGTGGTTGCGTTTGCACGGATTGGATCGTCGGTCAACTTTGCGGTGACGCCGACGCTTGCCGACTCGTCTGTGCCGCTTGCGGTGTGGTTTGGGTGTGGCATGTGCCTGCTCTCGTTTGCGTTTGCGTCGTCGCTCGCAGGGCTCGACTGGTTCGGGCGCGAGCGGATTTTGCGGCGCGATGCAGCGGCGGCCAAGGCTGCGACTGCCGGCACGGAGGCGCCTCGCGCTGAAGCTGGCGAGGGTGGGCGGATCCAGGCTGGCGAGCCGTCGCCGGCGACGGCGCTGCTGAGCGGGAGCAAGGTGGTCGAGGAGGAGAGCGAGGACGATGGCGAGACCATTTCGTGGGCGCACATCAAGGCCATTCCGCTGCCTGCTTGGTTTATCTTTATCATTTGCGCTTTCTTCTACGTTGGTGTGCTCACGTTTTACACAGTCGGCTCAAAGATCATGCAGGAGACCGGGCACAAGTACTCGTCGACGACGGCGACGCTCTTCCTTTCCATCCCCAACTTTGTGTCGATTGTGGCGTCACCGACGTTTGGCCGGCTGGTGGACAAGGTCGGGCGTGCGCTGTTCTGGATCATTCTTGCGTCGATAATGATGATCGGCGTCCACATCATGTTCCTCCTCAACGCGCTCGAGGTTGTCGAGATCTCGCCGATTCCGCTCATGATCTGGCTGGGTGTGTCGTACTCGATGGGTGCGGCTTCACTCTGGCCCATCCTCTCGCTGGTTGTGCCCGACTTTATGCAGGGCACGGCGTACGGGATCATGACGGCGACCCAGAACTGCGCGCTCGCGTTCTTCCCTCTTCTCATTGGCCAGCTGCAGGACAAGTACGCAGGCTCGAAGAAGCAGTACACCCTGCCGCTCATGATTTTTATCGGCTGCGAGGTCATGTCGCTCTTCCTCACATTTATCCTCATCGGTCTCGACCGGAAGCTCACCGAGGGTCGCCTCAACATGTCCGCCGCGGAACGCGACGTGCTTAACGAGCAGAACGAGATCGCCGCCGCCGCCGCCGCGTCCAAGGTCGACCCGACGTCGCTTGTTGTCTCGCCGCGCTCGCGCACCATCCGCGTCCCGGATCCAGAGCACGACACTGTCCGCATTGTGCCGATGCGCAAGCCTATCCGCGCCTCGTACCTGGCCCGCCTTGGCATCCATCGCCCCATGAACATGTAAACAACGTTGGGCCAGAAACGACTGTGGGTCGAAAGGCAAGACGAGGCTTGGCAAGGTCACCACGACGACGACGCTGGCGAAATGGTCGACATCGAGAGCGCAGACTCGGTCTCCGAGCTCGAGGCGGATGCGGCCGAGCTCGAACTCGAGACGCTGTGCAACGGGCCACGCGCCGGCCGCGGCCGATACGCCGGCGTCGGCGACGGTGTCCCAGTGAGAAACGAGATGCCCGAGTGGACGAGCGACGCGGCCAGAGCGGTCGAGTGATCAGAGTCGGAGGCGTGGAGGAGCCACGAGTCGTGTCCGGTTGCAGTCGATGCGTTGTGGGCTGCCGATGCCAGTGCGTCAAGAAGTAGCTCGCGGCCGAGGTGCCGGCGCGACTTTGACCGCACAAACGAGTGTGATGAGAGCTTGGCCACTGCAGGCCGCGCCGCCGGATCGTGGGCGAGCGCCTTGGCCACAAAGGTCCGCATCCGCTTCGGAAAGGCGGAGCGGGCTAACCGGGGCGGCGTGCGACTCGCAATCTTGCGAAGGACCCGCATCGGGTGCTCGCGGGCGAGCGGCGGCTCACCTTGCACGAGCTCGATGACAGTGATGCCCAGCGCCCACACATCAGCCTTGGCCAGGTCCACGTCGGCGCCCTCGGCGGCCATCAGCTCGGGCGCCATCCAGTGCGGCGAACCGGCGGCCAACTCTGCGCCGGGAGGCAGCGACGCGTCCAGCTCGACGGCCTCGCCAAAGTCGGCGAGCTTGATGTTGCCTTTGGCATCGACAAGCAAGTTGGCTGCCTTGACATCACGATGGGCAATGCCTATCTGCGGTGAGTGAAGATGGGCGAGAGCGGCAACAACCGAGGCGGTCACGTGGGCGACAGCGGCCTCAGGCAGGCCAGACCCGCGGGCAGCCAGCAGGGCGGCTACCGAGCCATGGGCGCACAGCTCCAGCACGAGCCACCTGCGGCGAGTCCCTCCATCACGCATGGTACCGAGATAGCTAACCACGTTGGGATGCGTCCCCGCCCGCGCCAGCATCTTGGCCTCTGTCTCGGGCCGCGCCCCATTCTCGCTTCCCGCGCTCACCGCCTTGGCCGCCACCTCGTCGTTGCCCAGCTGCGCCGCATACACGTCGCCAAACGCACCTGCGCCGAGCAAGTTGGTGATCTTCAGCCGGCTCTTTGTCTTTCGCGGCATGGCGGCCGGGAAGGAGGGGGAGGGACGAGAGCGGTGGGTTCAGGCGCGCGGCTGCGGAAAACTTGAATGGCGCGCAAAGTGTGGCAAACACACATCTCAACTTGCACCTCATCGGAAGGCGCGATAGTGTGGGTAGCTGCGACTCTGACTCCTCCACAGTCATCCCTATCACCGTTGCTGGCTTGGCTTTGGAGCTATGGAACACGTCGAACGATTGGTGGTCCTGCAGCAGCTGGTAGAGGCGGTGGGCGCAGCGCCGGTCCGGGGGGTGCCGAGTGGATGCGCATGTTCGTCGTCGCGGAGACTGCGGGCAGTGCTGGGTGCGATGGCGTTTGCGGCGCGTGAGATGGTGGTGAGGTTGCTGGTTGACGGCGCACGGCTTTCAGTGTGGATGATGCTCCGCAAGGCTGCGACTGCGGTCGACCATAAAGCCCGCACCGCACGGTCGCGGTACGCCGTCCCGGCAGCGTGGACTGCTCTTGCCGATGCGGTCTACGCGGCGTCGTCGGTCGTCGGCGACGATGACGATTCAAGCGGTGGCGCTCTAGAATGCGTGATCGAAGAGGGCCTGCTCCGCGGCCTGCTGCCGGACTGGATTGAGGCTCTCGGAAGCAGTGAGCTCGGCGTGGCAAGCGCGTGCTTTGGGCCGCGGGCGCCGATGCGGACGCCCGCGGTGCGGACCGACGCCTCCCGGGCGCTTGAGGCCATGTGTGCTATCGAAGGTTTCCGCGATGCTGCCGGCCGGCTTGGCGCTGACGGAGCACGCGCCGAAGTGCCGCTCCCGCCCCCGCCCGCGCCGCCACTCCCGTCGCCGGTCCACCGGCCTACGCCTGCCGAGCCCAGCCCGCGCCGTACCCGCCGCAAAACCACGACGACACCAGCACGAGAGCAGATCCAGCATCACGTAAGTCAGAGCAAGACGCTGCGAAGCTCCCCGGCTCTTCGGTCACCGTTTGCCGTCAAGCGGACCAACATCGAGCCTGTGCTCGACTCGCCGACCAGATGGGGGGTGTCCGGACTCCGGTGAGGCAAAGCAAAAGATGGATCAAAAGCGAATGTGGAAAACTAGCCTCTGTTCCGAGCCTGTATGGCCAAGCGGTAAGGCATCCCACTTGTAATGGGGAGATCGCGAGTTCGATCCTCGCTGCGGGCTTTTTTTTTGCCTCGACAGCCATCCTCACTTGGTTTGCGGCACGCACGAAATCAGCAAGCTGACTTGCAACGAGCGACCTTGCCGTGTCCATAGGAGCCCATCTATCTCCTGTCCTGCCCCCCCCTTCCTACACACACACATACCCCCCACACCCACCCACCCACACCCCACACCCCCTCTTTACCTCTGTCGCGTCTGGACGTTTCTCTCCCTCGCTCTCCCTCACTATCCAATATCCTATGCCGAGCCCTGGCTCCGCATATCTGCGGAGAAGGGTAATGACGGCAAGCTCTCTTGCCGTGTGGCTGGTTATGGTGGTGACGGTGGTAGTGGTTGAGGTGGAAGCGGCATCGCCGTTTGCCGCCAGCAGCCTGCTCTACTCGGGTTGCCCATCTGCACTCACTAGCCTCCGGTTTGTCAACATCACCGACAACGTCCATACTGCGGACGCCGTGGTCATGTCACACCCGTCTGTCCCGGTTTCGTCGTATCCGTCGCTCGCGATCATTCCGTCGACACCCTCGCCGCCTGGATCCACAGCGTTTGGACCCAAGGTGGCGCTCGCCGAGTGGGACGCCGGCTACTCGCACTTTGCGCAGGGGCTCGACACCGGAGACTGCGATGGTGACGGCCACATCGACGTCGCGACCATCACCTCGGGTGCAGACAAGGCGGTCACGGTCATCTTCTCGCCCGGCGAGTGGTCTACGCTCGGCGGCTCTGTGCCCGGAGCCGACTACACGGTGCTTGACACTGTGACGGTCGATACTCCGGGCAATAATCCACAGGCTGTTGTCGTAGCTGATGTGTCTGGTGACGGGCTCGACGATGTCATCACGGTCTCAGGCTCGTACTCGTCCGGCACTATTCGGGTCTATGTCTACACCGGCGCCCGTTCGTTTGACACAGCCCACGTTGTAGGCTCGGTCACATCGCCACGCTCGCTCGCCGCTGGAGACGTCGACAGCGACGGCAAGTTCGACCTGCTCGTCGGCTCGTACAACAGCAAAGTCGTGGTATTCTTCAACAACGGGGCGCCGGCACGTTGTGGACTGGCCAACTCTCGTTCACAAACGCGGTGTTTCCTGGTTACGGCGTGTGGGCTGATGATCTCGATCTCGACGGCCACATTGATATCTTGCAGTTTGGTTACAACGCGGTCAACGTGCTGTACAACCCGGGTCCGGGCTCGGCGCGCACCATGACGTCGTGGTCCGCAACTTTGCTTTACAACGCGGGTCACAAACACTTTGTCGGGCGGACTGGCGACGTCAACCATGACAACCGCCCTGACATCTTTGTCTCTATCTCCGCCGCGCCCACAAATGGCATCATGTACTTCGAGTCGACCGGCGCAACAGGCTACTCGCTGGTCACCACGCTTTCTACAGCCGACACGACTGCCAACGTGGTCGAGCTGGCTGATATCAACGGCGATGCCCTGCTAGATGTTGTTGGCTACTCCAGCTCGAACAGCGCTACCAACGTCGTGGTCTGGTTTCACTCTGCACCACAGGGCGACGTCGATAGCCCGTGTGTCTTTCCGCCACCGCCACCACCAATGTCACCACCACCGCCGCCATCACCATCGCCGCCGCCGCCAGCACCACCACCGCCACCATCCCCGCCTCCGCCACCACCATCCCCGCCTCCGCCGCCGCCACCACCTCTTGCCGCCGCCGCTCTTATGCCTGCCACCTGGTCACTCATCCCGTCAACGTCGTCACAAGCCGGTGGTGTCCGCATGACGCTCACTTATGCCGATGCCGAGTTTTTTGCTGGCTTTGACAGCTTTGAGGTTGTCGTTGACGTGGCGACTTCGACAAGCGAGCTCCGCGCTCCAGTTGCTGTTTCGGCAAGTTTCATCTCGCCCGCCTCGCTCGTGTTTACCACGCCGGCATCCAACGCCACCGGCCCGCACGTCATCAGCGTTGTCCGCTCGCTTGCCAACAGCGACGGCAGTGGCGACGTGACGACTCGGCTGCCAGGCCTCCTCGACTACGTCTCGCACGGATGCATCGCGCCGGGCTTTGTGTGGCGCTCGCTCGAATGCAAGCCGTGCTCCGAGTTTGAAGGCGCGCACTGTCCTGGCGGCGAGCGGTTCTGGCCTCGGACCGGATACTGGGCGGCGTCAGAACGGGAGCCGCCGTCGCGGTGTTTTGTCGAGGCCGCGTGCCCCGGCGCTCTGGGCGAGGTGAGCGTGTATCCGGCTTTAGTCAACATCGATGGCTCGCGCAAGACCGACCAGTGCGCGCTCGGCTACACCGATGAGTATTGCTCGGTCTGCGCCGACGGGTACTACATGCAGGATGGCGTGTGCCGAACGTGCGGCTCAGATGCAGCTGCAAAGGCCGAGCTTGCCGCCATCGTCATTGTGGCCTCGGTCATGTTTGGCGTCATCCTGCTCGCGCTCCTCCTCCTCTCGGTCCGCCACCTTGTGACGGTCGTCTCGGCCATTGTTACGCTGCAGACGCTGGTGGTGGTGGGAAAGCTTGGGATGCAGCGGCTGGCGACGTCATCGTCGTCAAGCGTGCAGACACTCGCGCGCATCATGCGCTTTGTTGCGCTGGTCAACTTTGAGATCGAAGTTGTCCGCCCGGGCTGCTCTATCCCGCGCGTCGCCTTTCTCTCGCTCTGGCTGGGCACCCTTGGCCTCACACTTGTCGCTGCCTTTGCCTTTCTTGTCACAGTCTGGCTGCGTACCGTGTTGGCTGCGCGAGCTGCGCGTGGCAAGGCCACCGCGGCTGCGCGCGCCTTTGACTTTGGCACTGTCATCCGTGCCCGCACCATGCACGCACTCATCATTCTCGCTTCGCTCGTCTTTCTGCAAGTCTCGTTGCGGACGTTTCAGGCCCTCAACTGCGTACGGGCCGGTGACGGCAGCCTGCGGCTTGCGATCGAGCTGCGGCTGCGGTGCTTTGAAGGCAGTCATTCCAGGTTTGCGCCGGGTATCTTTGCCACTGCTCTCTTGTTCTCGCTTGGCTTTCCGGTTGCGGCGCTTCTTGTGGCACTGCGAACCCGAAAGCGTGTGCTCGCAGGCATGCCCATCGACGCCGCCATCGAAGCCTACGGCTACATCATCCGCGGCCTCAAACCCAAGTACCTGTGGTTCCGGACACTGACATTGGCCACGACGCTCACGTTTGTGCTCGAGACCGTTTTTGTGGCATCGCCGAGCGCGCGCGTCTTTGCCGCCTGTTTCAACTTTGGCGTCTCGCTGCTCTTGGTCGGAGTCCTGGATCCGTTCCTCGAGCGGCTACACACCGGCCTCGCACTCGCATCGGGCATGGCATCTTCCGCGCAGATCCTGTACTTTCTGTATCGCGAGAATGTGACGCTCTTTGGCGTTGGTGCTGGCTTCCAGGCTCTTGTCCTCGCCATCATCGCTGCGGTCCTCATTGTGCGCACCTTGTATCGGTCGCGGACGCGCCAGACGGCTGTCGAGCCAGCGACGCCTGGCGTGGCACTCGACTCGCCGATCAGTCTGTTTACAAGCGACTCGTGCAGCACGGACAGCTCGAGCTCTACGAGCTCGGTGTCGGCCTTGGGAGATGCCAAGGACAGCAATACGCCTTTGCCAACGCGCAACCAGCTGGTCAAGTCTCCGACAACCAACTTTAGGTTAGCCGGCCACTCGCTCTCATCGTTGGACCTCGCCAACGAGCGCTCGCTTGATGAAAGCGAGCAGAGCTCAGACGCGTTTGCGGCGGGCCGCGATCTCCGCAACCAGCGCAAGCGCAGGCAGACACGCCGAAACCGACGCTTGGGCATGCAAGCTCGGCCTGAGCGCTCAACCGGTCAGCTCCTGGGCTCGCAGCAGTCAGACTCAAAGCGCAGAAATGTCAGGGGCTCGCGGTCAGTCGCGTACCTTCATGGGCAACCACGGTGAACAACGGCCCACAGGCTTACGGTCTACTCGACAAAGTAGGTAGCGGCGTTGCCGGGCTCGCGCCCGTCAGAAAACGACGAGAACGACGAGGAGGAGAGGCGGGGCTCGGCGTCGTTGGCAGACGACTCGCGACGACGACGTCGGCGGGTCCGGATCTGCTCAAAGCCGTTCTCCAGGGCGGTGAGGCCAGCCTCGAGCGCAGAGTTGAAGGCTGGCTCGGCAAACGACTCGGGCCCTTCGCCGACACGTGACATGCCGCCGCGGATGTACTCGGCGACGGTGATCTCGTGCGGGAGTGCATCGCCGTGAGTGAGGTGCATGGCAAGGGCTTTGAAGGCCTGTACCAGGCTGTCGCGGAAGAGCTTGCGGCGGTGGCGGCTGTCGAGAGTCTCGTCTACAACTGCAGCAAAACGAGAGTCGAGGCCGCCAGACAAAGGAGTCATGGGCAGATCGTCGTTGGAGCTCGGGCTCCCGACGCAGAGCGCAGGAATCGGGGTGCTCGTGCTTGGCGAGCAGGCCGAGCTCGCAGGAGCCTTGGTCAGCTCGCCCAGAGCGGAGCGAATGGTGCCCTTGAGCGAGTCGTTGTCCGGCTGGGCCGCTTTCTCGAGCTCAATGTCGATCCACACTTTGCCACGCTTGTAGGCTGACAGATCTCGGATAGAGTAGCCAATGCAGAGCATGACGACGAGGCGGACGCCGGCCGAGCAAATGCGGAAAAAGGTGTTGTAAAATGAGAGTGTAGTGGCGCACCGGAAGGTGATCGGGTGAAAGGCAAGCGCCTCCATCCACGCCTTGGTGTCGACGCAGCGGTAGGCGTCGAGCCAGTCGCGGGCGTTGTATGCCTCATCAAAGACAAAGACGGCCTCAAAGATTACCATGAGCAGGACGACGCCAAGTCCAATGAACTTGGCCTTGATGAACCGGTCAGCAATGACGGCCATCGACTCTGAGTACGACTGCATCAGCTGAGCCGGGAGGGCGTCGTCGGCCTTGGTGATGCGGTGGACGATCTTGTGCATGCGGCCCATGAGCAGATAGGTAGTGCGGAGAAGAGTCACGGTGATGACAAGGTAGACGAGTGTGGAAACATGGTACGAGGCAAACCGGGTCTTGATCTCCTGGCCACACATCAGGTTGACGTAGTCGATGTCGAGGTTGTCGAGGAGTGAGATCTGCGAGACGGCCGCCGCCGCTGCTGCCGTGGTGTTGGCGCAGAGCTCGGGCTCGGCAACCAGCAGCGGATCAACCAGCAGGTACCGATTGGGCATGGTACAACGCGACTCAGTGGCCGAGTAGAAAATGTAGAACATGACGTCGAGCACGATCGAGAACACGTAGCCAGCCTTGAGGTAGTCTTCCGAGTACTCGTACTCACGCGAGTACTCGGGCAGTGTGAAGAACTGCACCATGGACTCGAGGACAGGCATGGTGGCGATGTGGCACGAGCTCCCGCAAGGGAGGGGGAGGGGGGGGGAGGGGGGGGGGGAGGGGAGGGGTGGTGGTGGGTGCACGTGGCCGAGGGGGGGTGGGGGGGTTGACGGTGGTGGCGTCTCGGTACTGAGCAAACGGGGCACGGCGATTCAAGCAGGCAGTGTGTCCGCAGGGCGAGCAAGAGTTCATGAGACAGTTAAGAGTCAGCGCTGGCGGCAGAACGGGCGCGGACAACGCGTTGAGCATCGTCGAGCTCCTCGGTGAGGAGGCGGGAGTAGACGGCATAGCGCGGATGATTGGCATCAAGCGAGACGAGGAGGGCCTGAGTGCCGGAGACGAGGTCATCCAGGGCATCGCCGTAGAGCATAGAGCCCGGGTACATGCGCGAAATAAAGTACTCGGCGTACTCGTTGCTCTCATGGGCGTCCATGATTGATGGGACGACAGCAAGGAAGCGGGCAACGTAGTCCTGCGGGAGGTCGTTGGCAAGCTGGAACGACCAGAGCAAGCCCTCCATGAGCGCGACAGTGTCGTGGAGCGAGCGGCCATCGGGCGGGGAGCAGATTTCGGCCCAGACCTCGTCCTTGCGGGCAGGGTCGCCGAGAGCAGCCCGGAGCCGGAGACGGTACTGGCGGCCACGATCGGATTTGTCGGCGTCAACGACGACAGCTGCAAGAGCCTCGACCCGATCGGGCTCAGCTGCACCAATCAACGCTTGTGCAGCGACAACAAGCTTGAGCTTCTCGTGCGGGTCGAGCTCAAACGGAGCATCGTCCGGCGCCTCGACAAACGGCATGAACAGCGCGAGCGCCGATTCTGACTCGAGAGCGGCGATGCCGGTGCGCGACCAGAGTAGACGCCGCTGATCGTCACGTGCAGCACAGGCCTGCGAAAAGCTGAGCGAAGCAACGGTGTAGGCGTACATGGTTCGCATGGCTCGGTTCGGCACGTAGTTGCAGAGCGTCGAGGTCATGGCCCCGAGCAGGATGCCGAGCAGCTCGGGCGATGGCTCGTCGACTACCGCGTCGAGCGCAGCAGTGAGAAAGGCCTGCCCAGTCATGAGTGCATCGCGAACGCTGTCGTAGAGCGAGGCCCACACGAGCTGGCGCTGCAGCGTGGCGTTGCTTCCGCTCAGCGTGCCGAGCAGACCGGTGACGTTGGCGAGCGAAATGTCGGGGAGCCGGACCTTGGCAAAGGTGGCGTCGGTAGCGTCAAGGAGAGCAAAGTGAGGCATGGGCGCGCCGGCCAGCGCGTCGATCGGCGTCGTCTCGCACGGGCCGACAACAACCGGCAATTCGGCGACTACGCCGTCGATGTAGGTGCGGAGCACAATGACGTGCGGGCGGAGCGGGACGTCTGGTCCCGGGCTCGACTGAACAACAGCAGCGCGGGCAATGCTGCCCGCGGCGTCGCCCTCGCCAGGCACTAGCTCCAGGCGGATGGTGTTGACGCCGACAGCCCGGAGCCAGCGGTCACTCCAGTCGCCGTCGGGCAGCGGCATGACGCTCTCAAAGTCGGCGAGGGTGGTATTGGCGTAGGCGTGGGTGTCAAAGTAGGCGACCATAGCTGCACGGAAGGCGTCGTCGCTAATGGTAGCGATGAGTTGCTTGAGCACCGATGCGCCCTTGCCGTACGAGACAGCGTCAAAGAGAAGAAAGGCGTGGTCGGTGTCAACGACGGCGCCGGGCGCCGGGACGACCGGATGCGCGGTCGGCCGCTGGTCAGCCTCCAGGCCCCAGGCCTTCATCTCCACATTAAACACCTCCCAAAGTTTGTCGCCAAACCGTGTGGCAGCGGCACCGGCCTTGGCGGCCATCAGCGAGGCAAATGACTCGTTGAGCCAGAGATCGTCCCACCAGGTCGGCGTGCAGAGGTTGCCAAAGTACGCGTGGGCCATTTCGTGCAGCACTGTATCGATGCGGAACATGCGCTGGTACTCGGTCGGCGATTCACGAAACAAATCATCCTCACAGAACGTCACCGCGCCAACGTTTTCCATGGCGCCGGCGTTGAACTCGGGCACAAACAACTGATCATACTTGGTGAACGGGTAGGCGCGGCAAAAGTACGAGGCGTAGAACTGAAGGCCGGCTGCGGTAATATCAAACAGCTCGTCGACATCGCAAAACTGCGCCATCGACGCCCGACAATAGAGGCCCATGGTGATGGCCTTGGTAGCCTCGGGCGCGCCCGGCGCCAGCGATGTTGCGTACCGCACCTCGGTCTCGCGCTCAAAGTGGACCAGCGGCCCGGCGACAACGGCGAAGAGGTAGGTGGAGAACGGGCCCTCAAGATCAAAGTACGACCAGCAAAGACCGGCGTCGGGCTCGGTGACCGACACCCGCGGGCCAGACGAGACAACGGTCCATGCGGCAGGCGCCTCAACCGCTACCGTGTAGTACGCCTTGATGTCCGGCTGGTCAAAGCAGGGGAAGAGGCGATGTGCGGCCCACGGCTCAAAGTTGGTGTAAAGGTACTCTGCGCCATCGGCCGGGTCAAAGTACTGATGAAAGCCGTCGCCATCGTGGTCATAGCGCGCAGTGTAGCTAATGGTCAGCCGCAGGTGTGACTCCGGCTCGAGCCTCGCCAGCACAGTGTCGGCCAACGTAAGCCTGTGAGCCGCTGGCTCGACCTGGACCTCGCCGGCCTCCAGGTCCAGCTCGCTGTCGTTGAGCACAACCCGGACGGCAGTCATGCCGGGCGCCCAGTCCAAGAACAGGCTGTGGGCATCAGCCTTGCCGGCCAGCCGGAAGGCCAGGCAGACCTCGCCGCGGAACTCGGGCGCTCCCGCCGTCAGCCGCAGCGTCAGCGCATACCGCAGCGAGTTGGCCGCCACAACCCTGCTCCGTCTCTCGGCATCCGTCTGCGATAGTGCCATGAGGATTCGGTGAGGGGGTGGGGGTGGGGTGGTCGCCGACAAGCTGGGCTGGACGTGTGCATGGGAGGCGCCGCTGTTGCGACTGCCAGTGACACGCAGGTGATCGTGATCGTGTTCATGATCGCAATTGCTGTGACCGGCGGCGATGGCGACGGCGATGGTGAGATGATGGTGAGGTTGACGGCCATCGTGGCGTTCCCCGATCGATGGTGGCACCGTCATGGCTATAGTGACGAATTGCGATTGAGGAAAGGAGGGTGGTTGCATGGGTGAATGGGCAGCCACGCAGCTGCAGAAGTCTTCCATTAGGAAGGGGTCCTGTTGGGGACAACGGTCCGTGGCCGCTCCGCGTGCAGGAATCATGGATGGATTCGTTGCCAGCCACGACAAACTCGAGAGGTAACAAGTGTGATCGTCTGCGCCAACCTCACTGTGGAGCACCATCTGTAGGGATCTGATCGCAGACAGCGGAGAGCATTAGGTTGACGTCGATCCAGTGACGCTCTTGACGATGGCGCAGACTGCGGCGGCCTAGCTTGGGCGCACGCCGGATAGTGGAGCTGTGGCGCAGCGGAGTGCTGATCATGGATGAAGTCGACGTCATCCTCCATCCGCACAAGTTGGAGCGCGACTTTCCCATCGGCGCCGAGGTGATGCTGGATGCGGCCAAGGAGCAAGCGAACGTGCTGGAAGCGTTGGTGAGCGCAGTGCTTGGCCATGAGCTTGCGCCGCAATCGGCGCGAGGCATGACTGCCAAGGCAGTTCAGGCGTCGCCGTACGCAGTCCTTGTCGATGAAGGGCAAGCCGGTGACACGGCGGCGGTGGTTGGGTGGGCTCAGGGTGGCGCTTGCGGCCCAGATCGGCCCGCTATGGTCGCGCGGCTCATACTTGCGCTACGAGCGATGGGTGGAAGGGCTCGGAAGCAAAGCCTCTGGGCGCGGCCCCGCAGACTCGTTGGACTCGACACACTCTACTGTGGCGGTGCAGAGGCTATCACATCGGAGACGGCAACGGAAGAGGCATGGGTAGCGGCAGCGGCAAAGGCAACTCCCAAAGCTGGGTGGCGGTGACGGTTGTAGCCCTCGCCGTCTGCCTCCCTTACCTGTGGCTCAACGCCCGGCTGGCGGTGCGGGAAGCAGAAGGAGCCGAGGCGGCGGCGCTGGCGGCGGCGCTAGAGGCAGCGGCGGGCACGAGCGCAGGCAACGGGCGCGGACGCGGCATTGCGCTGGCGTACAACTCCAATCTTGATCTGGTGGTAGATGCCGGACGTGTGTTTGGTCCCGGCGGGCCGGCTGGTGAGCCTGCGGCCTGCGACGGCTTTGGCGGCGAGGCGGCGTGCGAGGTGCTCGCTACGCCGGCCGACGTTCTATGCTGCTTCCGGCTGTTTGCCGCCGACGGGCGGGCTGCCGAGCGGATGGTGGTGGACGATGAGTTGTATGCGGCGCTGGTGGCTCACGCTGCAGCCGCTGATGCGTCTGTGGAGCACGTCGGCGGTAACGCGGCACTGATGGCGGTGGCGGCTGCTGGCTTTGCTCCCGAGGCAAGGATCCTGCTCGGCGGGCCGGTCGGACCGGGTCTGGCCGCGCTCCTACCGGGCTCGGTCGAGCTCGCCGCCGGTGCACCCGAGGCCGCCGACGAGGTCCATCTCATCATTGAGTACAAGGCCGGCGTGGAGGTGGCCGGCGTCGTCCCGCCGCGGGCCAACCGGTTCATCTTGCACTGCGACAAGGTCAACGGCGAGCTGCGTGGAGCCAAGACTTTCCATGTCGCGCTAGGTGACTTTGCGCCAGACACAGTTGTCCTATCGGGCTTCCATCTGCTCGACGCGCTTGCGGTGGAGGCCTCGACGCCGCGGGTGAGCGCAGTCGTGGCCGAGCTCGCCGCCGCGGTAGGAGGGCTCAAGTATCGCCCGAGCGTCCACCTCGAGCTGGCGTCAATGGCTAACAGCGCCTACATGGCGCAGCTCGTCGAGCTTACTGCCGGTGCGGTGGACTCGATCGGATTTAACGAGCAAGAGCTCGAGGGCCTGGTGGCCGCGCTTGGCCTCGACGGAACCAAGCCGCTGTTTGCTGCCGATGCCACCTCGCACAACGTCCCCAGCCGCGCGGGCGTAGAAAGCGCCCTGGCATCCCTGTTTCAGCACTTGGATAGTAGCGCAAGCACTGTGACAAGGCTGCATTTTCACTCGCTCGCCTATCACGTCGTGTGCACCCGCGGCAGCAGCTGGGGAGAGCCGGCCGGTCCTGCTGCAGCGGGCGCGCTGGCGGTCGGCTTTCGGGCCTGCGGCCTTGCTCCGCAGCCAGTCAGCAGCTTCAACCCTGCTATCCACTTTGATGTCCTCTACACCACTGGCAATGATGGCGGCGTGGAAACCTTTACCCTGGACCCGCAGACTCAGTGCGCACTCGCACCGGTGCTGGTTTGCAAGGCACCGGTGCGGACGGTCGGGCTCGGCGACTCCATCTCGGCTGCAGGCCTTCTTGCCTTCCAGTACCAAGCCAAGTAAAGCTGAGCAAGGTTGCTGGACTACTCAGTATATGAGTCCGAGTAGAGGAGCGGCCGCTCGCGACGTGGCCGTTGGCGAGCCTTTGCCGCCCGGATGTCGGCCAGCTGTTGGCGGAGATGAGCGATCCGGGCGCGCGAGGTCTGCAGCCGAGTCTCATACACATCGTCCAGCACGTCGACAAGGTCAGACATGTCCGAGGCCATCGAAGCCAACGCATCGACAGCATGAGTCGAGGACGACGCCGAGTCGACGAGTGACGACGCCTCACTCTCACCTCCCGAAGTGAGCTCGACAACCGAGTCGGAGGAGGGTGGGATCCAACGGTCGCGGAGCTGAGCATCGTCGAGCTCGGCGCGGATGGCCACCTTTTTCTTGCGCAAGACCTTGGTCGGGACGACCGGGCGCTCGACAAAGTCCTTGTCAAAAAGTTGGCTTCGCGCTCTGTCCGGTCGTCAAGTCCAACCTCGTCAGCGAGGGCCAGCTCGTCGAGATCGTCCTCTTCAAGCTCGTCGACAATTTGCTCGGTCTTGGCCTCCTTGGCACGGTAGACACAGCGCTTGGCCCAGCAGCAGGCGCAGCAACAGCAGCAAAAGCCCGAAGCAAATGGACCTTCATGGCCTTCGGATGCTTACGGCCGTGACGGATGAGGATACGCGTCCGTGCCCCGATGACCACCACGTAAACAACGGCAATAAGGACCAGCGTGGCAATCTGCAGCGAGGTCGAGAGCTTGTCACGAAGAATGAGGATCTGGACTGAGGTGGCGACACCGACACCGATGGGGATGTAGTTTGCCCACCAATCGCGGAACGGCCAAAGAAGGCCGACCACAAACATGTTGAGGAGGAACGAGACGAGCGAGGTAAAGAGCTTGAGCGCCGACGTCGGAAAGAGGGTGGTCTGGACGGCAAGCGAGAGGTTAATGATAAAGGTGATGAACCGGAACCAAAAGTACTTGTCCTTGACGCCACGGATGAGGTAGCCATAGACGTGGCGGTCAAACTGGGTAAGACCGCGGGCGTGGGCCCGAGCAACTAGAACAAACATGGAGATGGGAAAGCCGAGCGAGTAGCCGAGCACAAAGACGGCGGCAAAGATGGTGACCCATAGGTGCGAGCCGGTCCAACACACCGTGTCGGGTTCGATGTCGAGCCGGTAGGTGACGCCGTCGGACGAAGTCTCCTTCTTGCAGTACAGCGCTTGTGTGAGGCGGACATTGAACTGAAGGTAAGCAATGGCGCCGAGGAGGAGCCACGAGTGCATGGCGCGAATCCACATCATCTTGCTCTTGCTCAGATTCGGGTTCTTTCGCTTCTGAAGGGTAGCAAAGATGTACGAGGCAGCAGTGAATGTCGAAAGTGCACCAATGAGGACGACCACAGTGCCCGCAAAGATGCCCCAAAATGGGATCTTCCCGATGGTGCACGTCGGCTTGGCAAACTCAATGTCAAAGAGCAGGAACGAGAGGCCGCGGAAAAGTTGGCGATGCGCTCACCGGTCGAGCCCGAGATGACGTTCGACGAGAGACGCCCGACAAAGACGATTTGCTGGAGGCCGAGCAATGCCGTTACGGACCGATCGAGCCACTTGTCCGGGAGAAGCGCAACAGACGCCGAAATGAGCGTCATAAAAACGACGACGACAATGAGAAGGAGGTAGAACTCAGCCTTGTCAGCATCCGAGAGCCCGCACGACCGGCATTGTTGCTGATCGCGGTAAAAGCCGTCAAGGCAGTCCTTGCACTCGCGACCGGTGTAACCGTCGGCCGAGGCGCAGACGGCGGTAACTCGCGCACCGGACGCCTGCGACTGGACTGGATAGCCGGTTCTCGTTCCGAGAGCGCCGGGGCACGCCGCCTCGTTCTCACAAGTCACTAGCGCGTCCGGGCCAGCAGTCTCGCTCTCGAGCCAGTAGCCCTCGGCCGGCCAAATCCGAAAGCCGCCTGGACACGTTCCGCCTCCGGGACACGATACGCACTGACCGCCGACGTCGACCTGGCCCTCACTGGTGCACGACGAGGTGGTATAGTACACAATCGATCGCGATGCCAAAACTGCGCCAGACGAGCTATGGACCAAAGTAAGATTGGCGTAGGCGGATGCCGCGCCTAGCGACGCTGACGTTGCCGCCGGCAACGTCATCATCAGTGAGCCTGTAGCAGCGATGAGCGGATCGAATACCACAGCTCGGGTGCTTGCAGCAGCATAGCTGGTAGGAACTAGGGTGTCGTTGAGGTACGCCACAACCTGAGCATCAAAGCCGGTGCCTGAGAGCGTGATAGCTTGCGACGCCACCGCAGCCATCCCGAGCGTACAGCCTGTACATGAGGCAACGACCAGCGGAATGGGCGTGTCGCAGTTGTCGCCCTCAAAACCAGCACTGCATGTGCCTACAGCACACTTTCCATCGCCGGACGAGCCGTCGGCGCACACGCCATTGACGCATGTACAGGCAATTGAGCAGTCGGTGCCAGCAAAGCCAGCATTACAGGTGCAGGAGAATGGCGCCGTAGAGGTGCACACGCCTTGGCCGGCAACGCAGACGGGAAAACAGCCCGAGGGTGTTGTAGCCACGGTCGAGGCCGGCGATGAAGCGCCGATTCCGTTGGCTGCGGTGAGTGCAAAGACGTAGGTGACCTGGGAGGTGAGCCCGGTGGCGACAAAGCTGGTGTCACTGCCCTGGTAGATGATGTCTGTTGCCGGACCAGGCGAGACGGCAATCTTGACTGTGTACAAGAATACATCACCGCTAACCGAGCCGGTTGGCGGAGTCCATGACAGCCCAACCTCCTGCGGCGAGCTCGGAGTGGCGGTAAATGACGCCGGCGGAAGCGGCACAGCCGGGGTCGTTACACTTTGAGTTCCCGAGAGCGTCGAGACACTTCCTACAACGTTCACAGCTTCAAGCGAGACTGCATAGGTAGTTGACGGCAGCAGGGCCACCGTCCCGCTCCCGCCAAGCGGATCCGCGTCAACTCCAATCAGAAAGGTGCGCGCAGCACTGGCCGAGACCGTCGCCACAGCAGTGGGGCTTGGGAATGGACTTGCGCTAGGCGTGTGGAGCAGAATGCGATAAACGTCGAGAGCACAGCCTCCATCGCGCGGCTCGGCCCACGTGAGACGAAGCGCAAGACTGCTGATGTCGAGCTCGAGGGCAAACGTCCCGATGGTCGGCGCACTCGGCAGAGCAGTCGTTGAGCACGGAGTGGTGATACTCAACTCCCCGCCCGTCGGCGAGCCACCAGCCATGTTGTATGCAACAACCACGAGTCTGTAGGTGACTGACGGCTCGACAGCAACGCTGAGTGGAAAGACTACTGGAGCGGTCACCGACGCCAAGACGCCGAGCGGCGGCGACGGCTCGTTGGAGCCGGAACGAATGGCAGACTTTGCGATGACATCGTACGAAGTGATTGGATCGTTGACCGGTGAAAAGGGAGGTGTCCAATCCAGATCAATCGACTCAGCTTGGATAGTTCTTGCCGTCACGCCGACAACCTCGTACGGCGTTGCGGGAGTCGTCACCGTCATAGTCTCGTAGCCCAACGATGATGACTCAAACGACGCCATGGCAGAGGAGAGTCGCCAGGCGAGCGTGACAGTATCGCCGGGCAAAAAGCCTGGGTAGGACAAGACAATGTCGACAGACACGCCGTGGGCGAGCGAGCTACGGAGTACAGTCGTAAACGGTACGTCAGAGACTGTGATCGGCCCGGTGAGGGCTGTGTAAGGGGCAAGCTGAAACGAGAGCGAGGGAAAACCGCGCATATTGGGCTGAACAGCAATGACGAGGTCCTGAGACGAGACCGAGACCGGATTGACGTCAACCTTTGGGCGCCACTTGAAGGTCTTGATGCCCGAGATGCCAAAAGCGCCGCTGACTTCCGGGTAGCCTGCAAGAAGCAGACCGCTTGCCTGGTCATAGCCAAGCGAGAGGCAATGGCCGGCAACCCGGCATGACATAGTCGGCGATGCGATTGCAAGACGGACAAGGCGGAAGCGGGAAGCAGACGAGACCGAGAAAAACGAGAGAGACGGCGGCTTGCCCGGCGAGGAGTAGCTGACAGCCACAAAAAAGTTGACTTCTGATAGGCCTGGAAGCCAAGGACCCACATCGCCACGAGTAGCCGCTACCGCCACGATAGAAGACTTGGAAGATGGCGCGAACGACAGCAGCGAGTCGGACAAGCTGCAGTCATTACTTCCGATGCAGACTCGAACATACTCGTCAACCAAGACAACAATCGAGTCGCTCGAGGAAGATGAGACCCAGGCAGCAACTCCCAGGGTCGCAACTTGGTCTGAAGTGAACGTCCCAACATTAACGGATGAGGAGCATGACGAAAGTCCACAGGGATACAGTGTGGTGGAGAACGGAGTCTGCGTTGAGCGAAGGAAAACGCCCATGCTCGACGGCGCAAGCTCAACATGGGCGATGAGCGGCGAGACAGGCCCCACAATGGTACTTGCAACCTGAAAGCAAATGCCTGAAGAGAGCGGACATGACGCGATGGCGAGCTCGGTTTGGTTCAACAGCCCAACGACAAAGAAGCCTGAGTTGGCCACAGATGTACCGGCAACAGGGACAACAGCCAGCTCCGTGATAGCACCGTTCGTGGGAGAAGCTGAGTTTGCAAAGCGGAACGCGCCGCTAGTGCCAATGCGGCGGAGCGTGCATGAGGTCGGTGGCTCGGGCAGTGGAGCGGCAGCCGTCGCCAGCGGACACTCGATGACGACAACAAGATCGTCCAGATTGACAGCACTCTCATCCACACCTGCCAAAAATACCGTACGCGCAATGTCGAGATAGCCTGCGGCGCGGAGATCAAAGCCCGCCGGCACAGCACTCCCCGATGCTAGCGGTGTCAACGGTCTGAAGCCAACACGAACCGCAGCGCCTCCCGACGACGACAGGGCGCCGGACGTGGGATTTGGGGCGCGGAACTCTACCGTAGGCACGTTTGTGCCATCCGACATGTCCGCAACAACAGCAATGACAAGGCCATCTGAGCTCGGGCCGAAGATGTGCCCAGCAATGCCTGAATTGGGCGGAGGTGGTGAGAAGAACCCGACAGGCTCCATGTCTGGCTCCAAGGCGCGCGAGGCCGGGGCGTGACCGTCCTCAAGGAACAGGCCAACCATGGTGAGATAGGCAGCGAGGGTAGCAATGAGTACAGCTGATGCCACCGTCTTTAAGGCAACCTTACACCTTAAGCCCATGCCGGGAGGAGGGGGGAGGAGGGTTAGAGAGGTGCACGGCGAGTGGGGAAGAGGTGTGAAGGTGAAGCGAAGACGGTTGAGGTGAGGGAAGAGGAAAACGGTGATCAACAGCAACGTAGTCGGGCACCCCTCTCAGTTGTAACACAGGTATGTGTCTGGATGGAAAGACGAGAAGGAGAAGGGAGTTAGGGTGTGTGTGGGGGGGGGTTGGGCGAATTAAGGGTGTGGGTATGGGGTTAGGGAGTAGGGAGGGGAGGGAGGGGAGGTAGGGGGAAAGTAGGGAGGGGAGGCAGGGGTGAGGTAGGGGTGAGGGGGGGTAGACGGGAAGAGAGCCCGATAGTGTACGCGGGGTGGAGGGGTACGGCGGGATACAGAGAGTCTGCCCATGGGGTGGGACTCACATGCCTGTGGGGCTGCCACGGACGAGAGGGGGCAGTATGGTCCGCCTCTACGTTCGCAACATCACCAACAACGTGTCCGAGGCCGACGTGCGGCGCGAGTTCCAGCGGTATGGACGGGTGACGGACCTGTATGTCAAACCGTCAGCGGGCTTTGCCTTTGTGTCAATGGACCGCGAGCGGGATGCGCACGATGCCATGGCGTCGCTGGATAACGCAAGCGTCTGGGGCTCGCGTCTTGCGGTTGAGGTGACCGCCGACCGCAGCAGCGACCGTGGCGGCGACCGAGGGCGCGACGATCGCCAGCGGAGGAGCCGCGGCTCGTTGGGAGACGACGGAGACCGGCGCCGGTCACGGTCACGCGAGGTCTCGCCACGGGACAGCGGCTACGGCGACCGTGATCGTGGGCGGGATTGGGACCGTGGACGTGGATACGACGACCGGAACCGCGACCGTGGACGTGGATACGACGACCGGAACCGCGACCGTGGAGGGTACGACGACCGGAACCGTGACCGTGGAGGGTATGACGACCGCAGGCGTGACCGTGGTGGCTACGACGACCGGGGGCGTGATCGTGGTGGGCGCAGTGGACGCAACAGTGGGCGGGGCGTTGTCGGGCGGCTGACTTCGTACGGAGCGCGCGAGCGCGACCAGTTCTCGCGAGGAGGACGTGGCCGATCGCCGCCGCCGTCCCACACGCAGATGGAGAGTGCGGGGAAGAAGAAGAAGAAGGAGCGCAAGAAGAAGCAGCGGCGGCCCAAGTCTGCAGGCCCGCCGCTTCCGTATGTACTCCATGTCACGGGCGGGCTTCCTGACGGGTATTCGTGGAAGGCACTCAAGGAGCTTGTGCTGGCCAAGACTGGGCTTGCGTCGACGGACATCGGCTATGTCGTCATCCGCGATGGGAAGGGCCGTGTCGAGCTTAAGACAGCTGAGGGACTGGCGGCTGCTATGGAGCGAGTGATCGGTCCGGTCGAGCCCGACCACCCTGCGGGCGACGTCGAGTGCCACACCGAGATTGTGGCTGAGCTGCTGGCGTCGACCGAGGGCGAGAGAACAAGTGAGGTTGTCGCGGACGAACCGGCAGCCGAGGCGGGACCGGCGGGGAAGTCTGCATCCCCGACAGCGGCGGAGGGGTCCCCGGCACGATCGCCAATGCAGTCGCCGGGAGCGTCGCGGTCGCGGTCGCGATCGCGGTCGCGGTCGCGACACCGGTCGTACAGTCAGGAGTGAGGAGAAGCGAGGGCGCGGGCCACGATGCGGAGGAAGACCGAGGCGCCGATGGCGAGGGCGTCCTCGTCAAAATCAAACGACGGCTTGTGATGCGGGAGCGAGCCCGGCGGGCCAGCAGCGGCCGGCGCCGAGCCGACAAAAAAGAGCAAGACGGCTTGGCACGGGTAAAGTAAGCAAAGTCCTCGCCGCAGAGGGTACGGTACGGATCGGTGACGCCGGCTGAGCCGACCACGTCTTTGGCGGCGGCAGCAACAAGCTTAGTCGGCTCCGGCGCGTTGACAGTGGCCGGATAGCCGTGAGTGTAGGTGCAGTCGATGGTGGCACCGAAAGTCGACGCAACGCCGTTGCAGACCGAGCGGATACGCGCAGCAACAGTGTCGCGGACAGAGTCATCGAGGGCGCGGACGGTGCCACCGAGCTCGACGCGGTCGGCGATGACATTGTGAGCATAACCACCGCGAACAAAACCGAGCGAGAGGACTGCCGAAGCTAGTGGGTCGACGCTGCGGGCAACAACAGTCTGGAGAGCGGTGATGAGAGAGCCGGCGACGACGACGGCGTCGACGGCCGAATGCGGAGTTGCGCCGTGGCCGCCCGAGCCGACAACAGCAATATCAAACTTGTCCGAGTTGGCCATAACCGGTCCGGAAGCAACGCCGACGGTGCCAAGAGCCTGGTAGTTCCACAAATGCAGGCCGTAGATGGAGTCGACGTCCGCAATGAGGCCATGGGTGACGGTGCCAGCGGCTTCGGCCTCAATCATGCAGCTGGCGCCACCGCCGGCCTCTTCGGCGGGCTGGAAGATGCAGGTGACAGTGCCGTCCAAGCCGGCCAGCTCTGGGACAGAGCCGTCTGCGGCGGCGGCGAGGATGGAGGCGACGGTGACGAGGATGGCGACGTGGCCGTCGTGGCCGCAGGCGTGCGAGACGCCATCGATCTGCGAGGCGTACGGGGCGTCCGAGGCCTCACGCACCGGAAGCGCGTCCATGTCTGCGCGCAAGGCAATGTGGCACCCGGCGCCGGAGCCGAGCGTGATGCGGGCAACGACGCCGGTGCCGGCCACGCCGGACTCGATGGAGACCGCCGGGTGGGCCGCAAGCTCGTCAACCACCCGTGCGGCGGTGGCCGTCTCTTCAAAGGCCAGCTCGGGGTGGGCATGGAGGTCACGGCGGAGAGCAATCATGTGCGGCGCAGCAGCGGCTACGGCAGGGAGGATGGTGGGTGCGGGTGTGGGTGCGGCAGCCATGGCGGCGGAGGAGAGAGAGCGAGGTGTGCGGGAGCGCTGCTTGCGGCCGTGGCGGCGGCACGCTTGACTCGCACCGCGAGGCTGAGGCAATGACCGAGGCTGCGGGTGGGTACACGCTGCACTGCGTGGCGACGAGCGAGTCAACGCTGATCAGCGGGGCGCAGTGGCTCTGCCACGAGTACGCCGCCGAGCTGTTCGAGGTGTCGGGCCTGGACCTGCGGACGGCGACGTTCCAGACGTTCACGGCCGAGGTTAATGCGCTGCCGGGCAAGTACGCACCGGAGAACGGCGGGCTGCTTGTGGTGGCCACGGCAGGCGACTCGCCTGCCGATCCACCGGTGGGCATTGTCGCATACAAGACGCTCCTGCCCGGCGTGGCCGAGATGAAGCGCCTCTATGTAGTGCCGAGCGCGCGGAAGGCCGGGCTCGGAGTCAGGCTCTGCCACACCATTATGGCCGCGGCGGCGCAGGCCGGGCACACCATCATCAAGCTTGACACACTGCCGTGCCTCGCGTCGGCGGTCCAGATGTACACCACCAAGCTCGGGTTCCGGCCCATCGAGCCGTACTGCGAGAATGGTCGCGATGACGCGCTGTTCTTTGGAGCGAATCTTGGCCGCAGCATCTCGTTTCCATCGGCCGTCGTGCCCATGCCCGATCCGTGCGAATCAAATGCTGTGCGGCTGATGTTGCCGCGGTACGCGGCAGCACGGCCGGCAGAGGTGGCCTTGGTGGCGAACGGCGAGTCGGCTACCTGGGGCGAGCTTGAAAGCGTCACATCTCGTCTCGGACTCAATCTGATGGAGTCGGCCGGGGTGGTCAAGGGCGAGAGGGTTTGTGTCGTCGGTCAGCCGTTGCTGGCCACAGTTGAGGCTGTCCTCGCCGTGCTTCGCATTGGTGGGGTAGCGATCTGGGTCGACGACGAGGCGGACGTACTCGACAACCTGTCTGCGTTTTCAGTGGTGCTGGCGGGCGGGAGAGCACTTGCTACGCTTACAGAAGGCATTTATGCCAGCGGAACCTGTCGGCCGCAGGTGCTCATCGCCCTGCCTGGCAGCAACGCCGACGGGGCAGTGGCAGCGAGCGCAGTCTGGCCGGACGCCGGTGACAAAAGCGGCAACAGCAAGGACCATCCGCAGTGGGAGGCTTATTTGTGCGCAAGAGCAGCGGCGGGTGATGAAGGACTGCAAGTGGCCGCAAGTGGTGTGACAAGCCATGCCGAGTTGCTTGCAGCTAGCTCGTCGCTGCAAGAGGCGTTTTCGGCCCATGGCACGATGCGGAGTCTGGCTGTCGGGGCTGAGCTGGTGGTAGCGAGCCTGATGACCGGCGTTGTGACGCAGCTGCTGACCGAGGATGAAGCTGCTGGAGCCAGCTGCGGAAGCGCAGATGCGGTGTGCGGGGGGCTGTTGCTGCGGCAGCGGTGGGAGCAGCGGCGGCTGGCAGCGTGCGTGTTTTGGCCACAGTCTGCAGTGGCGAGGGCGGGATGCGGATTACGACTACGAGCCTGGCATAGTCGGCTTCCAGTGCGAGGCGAGGTCGCGCTCCGGCGGCGATTTGTATGCCATGTTGAGGAGGCGGAAGATGTCTTCCTCCGAGTTGACTTTGACCGAGTCGCCGATTACAGCACCGGTCTCTTTGTCGATGGGCATCATACCGTGCTCGTTGAGGGTGTAGCCAAGGTCGAGAGCAATGCGGCGCATCTGGATGTTGAAAAAGCCCGAGCCAGTAAAGTAGAGAAGACCAAAGTAAAAGTGGTCGTAGGGAACCCAGAGGATGTCGATGCGGCGGTGGAGGCGCGGCGGCGCGAGCGGCGAAGACTCGGGCAGGATGCAGACGCCGGTGTACTTGTGCGAGCCAAGGCCGAGTTCGTCGGTGAGAAAGCCAATGGCCTTGAGCTGTGCCACCCAGGCGGCGAGGAACGGCGGCTGGCCCTTGCGGGACGAGGTCCAGTCTGGGTGAGTAAGGAGGACGTCGATGTCGCCACAGGTGGCTGCGCCGCGGCGGTACGAGCCGCACACGGTGGCGCGGAGGCGGATGTCGATGGACGGGAGGACAGAAAAAGCAATGCGCTCAAGCTCCTCAACTTCAAGGCGCGGGATGCGCTGGCGGAACTCGTCAAAGTACTTGAGGCCAGCGCGCTGGTAGGTGGTAAACGAGTCCACGTGTGGCGCGAGGTCACTAAGCGACATCACGCCTCGCTCGTAGACAAGCTTGCGGGCAAGGACCGGTCCAATGCCGTCGACCTTGCACACCTCGCTGAGAGCCACTAGCTGCTTGTCGGCCTTGGCGCGCTCGAGCGAGCCGAGCTTGCCAGTGGCGAGGATCTCGTCAATCTTGGCGGCGATCTTAGTGCCGACGCCGTCGAGACTCTTGGCGTCGGCGCCTGAGGTGACTCGTCGCGGGAGCATTTGCAGCGAGGTAGCAGCTTGCATGTACGCCTTGTGCTTGTTGACGTTGCCCTTGTTCTTCTCGATCTTGCCCAGCTCCTCCAGCAGGTCGGTGATGTCGGCGTTGTAGTTGCCGTGGAGCTTGAGTTCGATGAGCGGCGCCGAGGCTGTGCCGGTAAACGCTGAAGTCTTGGCTGCGATGGAGGCCTCGATGCCTGCGGCCGCGGCCATGTCGATGCCAGAGCCCGGAACGGATGCGGGCAGCGGCGGCGGCAGCGCGTGGACAACCGGGACTGCAGGCTGCGGCTGCGGCGTGAGGCCATCAGCCCGCGAGCCTGGTGGATGCCAGTAGTCACGGAGATGGTCCGGGTTTTCCCGGTAGCAGCTGGCCCCGTAGCGGCAGATGCGCTTGCCGGCCGCGAGCGCCGCGGCGGCGAGGTCGCCGGCGTCAGCCAGCGGCCGCTGGCGCTTGGCCGGCGGAGCAGCGACTGGCTCAGCCAGCGGGCGTTTGGCTGCAGCTGCCGGCTGGGGAGGTGGGCGTGCCGAGGCGAGCGCAGCCATGTCGTTGTCGATCGACCGCCGCTTGTCGATGTACTGGCCAATGAGAGCCTTGTCGGCGTCGGTGAGCGCCTCGAAGCCGTCGAGGTCGTCGGTCGACTCGACTTTACGCGACGTGGCGCGCATGCGTGACTGGACGTCAAACCAGCACGGGACGTGGAACCATTCGGTGAAGACTGCATCGTCGTCATCGCTCATGAACGAGGGCTTGACACGGCCGATGCGGAGGACGCCCTTGTCGATCTTGCCCACAGGGCATTTGCGGCTCTTGGTCCGCAGCTTGCATCCAGCTCGTCCGGTACGGGCGTACTCAACCGTGTACGCCACGTTGTCTGCCATGCGGATGCCGTGTTGGTCGGGAGAGGAGTGGCTCTGGACGGCATGCCACTATGCTGTGGGAGGTGTGTGTTTGGTGGCAGGTGGAAGAACCGGTGGTGGAACGTCGCGGGTTTCTTCCCGCTGTCTGCCGCGGCCACAGTTATTCGCCGTCCCAGCTGGCATCGGTGACCTGAAACACATGGATGGACAAACCATAGTGTCAGTTACTTGGGTTCATGCTTTGTAGCGACTTGGAAGTGCCCTATGGTGCTTGCGGGCGCCCGGCTTGGCAAGGCGCAGGCTGAGCAGGGCTATTCGTGTGGTGGAGAGGAGCGGAGTCGGAGTCGATTTAGGCAATAAAAAGCCAAGAAACAGAACCAAAACCATCAATTTAATACATTTATATACTACACAATGTATATTCATCACAAAATAAAAAAATTAGTGACCATTACATATAATGATATTTTAGCAAGAATAAATATATATAAGTTTATAGCTGAGAGGTCAAACTGTATTCAGCACCCGAAAAAGTTTGGGGTTTCTGGTTCTGACGCTCATCTTGTTTGCTCCAGCCCGAGCTTGTTTGCTCCAGCCCGAGCCCCCCTTCCTGTCGACACCCCTCCTCCCGCACAAGCTGAACTTTTTCCTCACTTTATCGCCATCCAGAACCATAATAGCACGCTGCTAACGCCCTAAATGGCCCGCTCGGCCCGCCGGGCCTCACGGAGTTCAGCCCGGCGCCTCGCTCTGTCGGCCTCGATCCGCTGCGTGTCAGCGACAGCAGCAGAGAGCTCAGCCTCTTCGGCGGCAGCCATCTGGGCACGCCGGGCCTCACGCTTGGCGCGAATCTCCTGCTTCTTGAGCTCGCGCGCCCGCTCGAGCTCGGCAGCTCGCTCGCGGGCGATGCGGCGCGCTTCGTCGCGCTCACGCTGGTACGCCGCCTCTTCAGCCGCCGCTGCCGCCGCTGCGGCCTCGCGTCGTGCTTTGAGCTTGGCCATCCGCGTCGCGCGCTCGGCATCGACCTTGGCCTCGGCTGCCGACGACCGCCTCCGGCTGCTCTCGGCTGCCATTTCGGTCATTGTTGCCGAGAGCAGCGATTTGTGCGCAGACTTTGCCGACGCCTCGGCCTCGAGCGATGACCGCCGCGCGGCCTCTTCGCTGGCTCGTGCAGCTGCAGCACGCTTGCGGGCCTCGGCTCGCTCCTTGGCCCGTCGCCGTGCTGTTGCCCGCGCGGCCTCGCGCCAGCTCGCAACCACTGCCTCCCACCGCTCCGCGTACGGATCCACAAACTGGGACTCAAACAGCGACGCGTCCCACCCCAGGAAGAGCGCCTGGAACTCGACAGGCTCATCGCCCTGCGCCACCGACACAACTCGCCCACATCGGCCGGTTGCTTCGGCAAACGCCTCAGCTGCCGCCCGCGCCAGTCGCACCTTTTTCTCTGCCGCGCGGCTCCCAGTCCACACATACACCGGGCCGGCTCCCGAGTCCACAAGCGCCACGGCACGGTCCTCGAGATCGCCCTGCGAGTAGTCGATAACCTCGGTGAGCGAAAACACGTTAGCCGCGAGCTCGGCCGCAAACAGCCGCCCGCTCCCTTGGTTTCCACCGCTTCCGACGTCCCTGCTGCTGTTGTCGACCTTGGAAGCGCTGGCGGCGGCGTCGTCGACCGTCAAATGCTCCGCCATCGCACTCGGAACTGCGCCGGTCACATGCTTCACGCTTGCCGTCCCGCACACATCGACCATGCCTACTGCTGCCTCCAGCAGTGACGCATTCGCAAGCTCGCCGCGGACAAGAACTCGGTTCCGGGCGCGGAGCACAAACGTGGCGGATGGCGCTGCGCGGAGCACAGAGGTCCGCGCCTCAACTTGCAGCACCCGCACCGCCGCACCCGAGGCTGTCGGCACGACTTGGACTTGGAACAGCCGCGGTGTTGTCCATCGCTGGGCCTCGCTGGCCTTACGCGTAGCATCCACGACCGTTGACAGCTCCACCGCAACCTTCTGCTTGATTCGCCGCCGCCGTCGCCGCCGCTTCTTGACCGGCGCCTCGGCCTCGACAGCCATCGACCGCCGCCACACTCCGGCCGTCGCCGCTGCAAACGATGTCTCCATCACACCGAGCTCGCTGCCTTCCACAGTCGAGCCCGACGATGACGCGCCCTCGAGGTCAGAGTCCATCTCCTCGTCGTCCTCGTCATCGCTCTCCTCGTCACCGTCATCGTCCTCGTTGTCGGCCGCTGCCCGCCGCGCTGCAAGCAGCTCGCGTGCCTTTTCCTCGGCTTCCTCGGGATCCTTGCCGGCAGCCTTTGCCCGCCGCCGCGCAACCTGAACAAAGACCTCATCGTCGTCGTCATCATCGTCGTCGTCGTCGTCGTCATCATCATCGTCGTCGTCGTCCACCTCCTCGTACACGTACTCATCGTCGTCGTCGTCGTCGTCGTCGTTGCCGCTGCCGTCGCCATCAGCTCCGATGCCGCCATCGCCATCCTCGTCGTCCGAGTAGTACTCGTCGTCCTCGGGTGCAAGCTCGTCGCGATTCGCCAGGCCGTTGATCTCGTCTGGCCAAGCCTCGCGAGTCGAGTTGTAGACCACTACGGCAGAGCCGAGCGCAGAGAGAAGCGCCGGCGGCTCGTGCTGCTGTGTCACGCGAGTCGGTCGCGTGTGGACGCCAAAGCCGAGGTCAAGCAGCCGCTCCACATACGCCGCAGTCCCAAACTGAAACGCGAGCCAGGCCTTCTTTGGTGCGTGTGCGCCTTCCCAAAAGTACGCCGTCGCACTCCGCCTGTCGTCGCCAGCTGAGACAAGCACATACGCCGCGTGCGAGTAAAACTCGCCTACTGCCTCGTGCTTGACGTCTACAAAGCGTGAGCCATTAAACACACCCTTGTACACCACCGACTCGCCCGAGCTGAAGCTGATGCCAGAGCTTCCGCTTCCGCTTCCGCTTCCGCTCCCGCTTCCGCTTCCGCGTCCGCTTCCGCGTCCGTTGGCGATCCCATTGGCGTGCCCGTTAGTAGCCCCATGGCCACTATGCCCGTTGCTCCCGTGTCCGTTGCTGTTGCCACTCGTGCCGTTGCCGCCCGCGGCTTCCAGCGGCGGAGCAAAGAGCTCCGAGATGTTGAACCTCATCTGGGCCCGCTGCGGCATGTCGTACGCGTGGGTGTGCCCGCCGATCGCAGTTAGCGACATCGCATCCTCCTCGGCTCCGCGCCCGCGGAGCGTCCGTCCGTAGTTGACCTTCAGCCCGTCCGTATTGAACCAGTCCGAAAACTTGGACTTGAACACCATCGGCTCGGCAGACTCGAGCACCCGCGTCATCGTCGTCCACTCGGGCCGCTTAAAGATGATGAGAAAGTTGCGCACAAACGCCAGCGCAGCCCGCTTCTGCAGCCGCCGCGTCTTCTTGCCCAGCCACACGTACAGCTCTGTCCGGCAGTCGAGAATGTATGCAGACTCGGACTTGAGCATCGTCCGCGAGAGCTTGCCGTCCACTTGTGGAAGCTCCAGGCATGAGCCGACGTCGACTTGGTACAGGTTGGCGCGGACGTTCTCCTTCTCGGCCGCGCTCGCATGGCCAGGTCTTTCGCTGGCCGGCGCCGTTGTTGTGGCCGCTCCTGTCGCGCTCTTTGCCTCTGCTGCCGCCTTGCCATGTGACGGCACTCCATCTTCAGATCCAACGCTGGCTTCGTCGTCACCGTCGCTTTTGCTTTCAGCTCCGCTTTCGACGCCTCCGTCGTCCACGGCCTCGTCAGCGTTGGCAAGTGCATCATCACCAGCCTCGTCGTTGTCGTCGTCGTCGTCGACCTCCTCGTACTCGTACTCATCGTCGTCATCATCGTCGTCAAAGTACGAGACAAACTCGTCATAGTCGGCCGAGCGCGCAGCCTTGGCGTCGACCACATCCACAATGCGGACGTGGCCCTCCTTGCGCTCCTTGGCGAGGTCGTCACAGAAAAGCCGCGCCACAGCGCGGTGCACCAACGTTGCGTCCTTGCCGTTGAGGTGGTAGATGACATCGCCAGTGTCGAGCACAAACACGTCGTTGGTGGCCATGGCCTCAAGGTCAAAGTCAATCAGTAGCGGCCGATGCGTCGTCGGACAAATCGAGTAGAGCTTGGGCGAGAAGCTCTTGGAGACAACCTTGTCAAGCATGGACTCAAAGTAGCACCCGTCCTCGTACTCGAGGTCAAAGGCGGCAAAGACTCGCTTGAAGACCTCCGACTCGTCGCCCTCTTCCTCGCGGATCGAGTTCTCGCGCGTTCCTATGTACGCACACAGCTGGACCGCGTGCATCGCCACGCATGCCCGCTTGTCCAGTGGCGACTCGTTGCCAATCCAAAACAGGACCCGGTACTCGAGGTTGTCCAGCTCCTCGTTCCACTCGCCAGCAAGAATGAGGTACGCCTCACCCGAGTAGAAAATCCCGTACTCGTCTTCGTCCAGCTCTATCGGCTGGAACTTTTCCACCCGCCACACCGTCACCCTTCCTCGGCCTCGATCTCGCCAAAGACTTCCGAGTAGTCCATCTTGGGACGTTGGATAATGTTCTGCCACGACCGCGCTTCGGCCGCTGCAGCCTCGGCCACAAGCAGCGCCTCGGCTTCGGCCGCCGCATCCTCCTCGTCCTCGTCGTCCGAGTCCGAGTCCACAAGCTTGCGCGCCTGCATCGACCACGACATCCGCCGTCCAGAGCTGAACGAGCTCGCGGAGAGCGTCGAGAGCCGCTTGTTGACAAACGCACACGAGCTTGGTCGCGAGCCTGCACGCTCGCCTATCGCAAGTCCGGCATCGGCGCCACTAGCTCCTTCGCCCTGATCTTGACTTTCTGCGACGTCACCTTGGCCGGCGCCGTCGTCGTCGTCGTCATCGTCATCGTCATCATCATCGTCAAAGTCGATCGACTGATGGTTTGTGTTCGCTGCCATCGCCGAGACAAATGCAGCCGCGGACGTCGACGACAGCGCCGCAGCCCGCCGACGCGCGCCGAGCATAGCAGCTTCGCTCTTTGCATCAAGCACGCCGGACGCGCCGCCACGCAGCGCCGCGGCTCGCCGGGTGCGGTTGCGCGCCGCCTTGGCAGCCAGTTTCTCCTTCTGGGTCACAATGATGTGCTTGAGATGTTCCTCGTCGACGGTAAAATAGCCTGCGGGTACCTCGCGCCGCCGCGGCATGACAAACTCGGGGTTGCCGGTCACGTTGAGGTTCTTCAGCTTGGTCAGCTTGTACACCGCAGACGGTACCGTCTTAAGCCCATTGTACGACAGGTCAAGCTTGACCAGCGATGAGCAGATGAACAGGGCACGCGGGACCGTCTCGAGCTTGTTGTTCGAGAGCGAAAGTACCTCCAGGTTTGTCAGGTATCGCATCGAAAGCGAGATGCCGTCGCCGGTCAGCTCGTTGCCGTTGAGATCGAGTCGAACGAGCGAAGTGATGCGGCAGAGCATCGGTGGGAGCTTGTGGAACCCGTTGCGCGAGAGGTTGAGCGACCGCAGCCCGGTCATAGCCTTGATGTCGGCGTCAAAGTAATCGATCGAGTTGCCCGACAAGTTGAGGTGCTGGAGGTTGACCAGCGAGTACAAAGCAGGCGGAATCGCGCTCAGCTTGTTGTCCTCGAGATGGAGGGTCGTTAGCGCCGTCAGCCGCGACAGTGCGTCGGGTATGTCGTCCACCGTCAGCGTGTTGCCGGACACGTCCAGCGTCCGCAGCTTGACAGCTTGGCACACCATCCAGTCGACGTACGGCAGCTTGTTAAAGCCGAGGAGCAGCGAGTCGAGCTTGGGGCAGAGGTGCAAGTCCACCGGCGCAGCCGTCAGCTCGTTGTGCCGCAGGTCCAGGATCTGAAGGTTGGGAAAGGCCGAACAAAACGCCCGCGGAATCGAGGTCAGCTTGTTGTGCGCCAGCGAGATGACCAGCATGGCCGTCTTTGGCAGCGGCGGCTTGAGCAGCGACGACGGCACCGCCGTCAGCGAGTTGTACGCGAGGTTCACCCGCCGCAAGCCGGCAAGCTCAAACAAGCCCGGCACAAGCCCCTCGTGCGGAATACTCGGGTCCTCGCCAAACTTGTTGTGCCGCAGCGAGACCGTCTCCAGCTTGGTTAGGCTCGTGATGTGGTCCGGAAGCTGCGCCAGTGCGTTGCACCCAATGTCCAGCCGGTCCAAGTTGGTGAGCTGCCACAGCTGCTCCGGCAGGGCCTCCAAGTTGTTGTGCTTCAGTCGCAACCTGTTGTCGACCCAGAGCCCCGACCCCGTGCGCGCACCGTGAGTCTTCCCTGCCCTGCCCCACTCCTCGCTGCCCCGTCTCTGCACCGCCCCACCCTGCCGTTCAGCCAGCTGACTCGCGTGCCAATGGATTCGGGTGAAGGCAAAAAACATGTACGCGAGCCCAAAGTCTTCTTGGTGGCTCTTTGCACCCTGTAGCACGCAGGCACGCCCCTACCGCCAACTCGCACTATCGCGCCGCATGCTGCACCAGCTCTTTTCTATCCTCTCCACCTGCGGCGGCACCTGCAGCGGCACCTGCGGCAGGGTCTCGGCCTCACAGCCCCGGTTGCTTGGTCGCCAGCCGGCTCATGCGTGATGATGGCAGCTCCCTCGCACACCCACTCGCTCTCAGGCCACGTACCACTCCATCGACTTCATCTCAAACACCATCGGCGGAAAGTACTCATCCAGCTGATTGAGTGAAAGATCAAAGCCCTTAAGGTATGAAAACCGCGACGGCGTGCTCGACGACTCGGCCTCGCATGCCTCGGAGCTCGAGCCCGTGCCCGAGCCCGAGCCCGAGTCGGAACCCGAGCACGAACCGTACTCCGAGTCGGACATGAGATTTTGGAGTCAAGTGCTGAGAGCACGTCGCCACCGCGGCACCGTGGCGCGGGCAGGACGTCCTGTATTGGCGATTCCGGAAAAAGCTGCCCCAGTGTTGAACAGGACAATTCCTGCTGTGCATGTTGGGCAACCGTGTTGTCCAACGTTGAGAGGTTGATGTGTTGAATGAGGACAACCAACTCGGTTGGGCTAATCTCATTAAGTCGGTCGTTCCTCGATGTTGGCAGGGGTCATTGTCTCAGTCTTGACCGTAAGGCTCACGTCCGTTAGGCTCATGCCCATCACAGATCGCCCCCCTCAACCGCGGGGTAGGACCAATCCAGCACCAGAAAGGTCTCCATCGTCGACGACGGCAGTGCCCCCCCCCCCCCCCTGCTTTCCCAAGGGGTGTTCTACCATCGACCAACTCCTCTCCTCTGCACAGCCCGGTGACCGACCAACTCGCTCTCCACCACTTTGTTTGCACAGATCAGGCCACAAAGCTCGTCTACGGCCTGAGCTTCTTTTCTTTCGTTAAATTCCGTACCCGGACCCCGCGCGTGTCTACGCGCGCTAACAGCAACCACTACGACCGCCGTGTCGAGCCGTACGGTGAGGTCTGGGCATACGGCAGGCCAGGGGAGTTAACTGCCGAGACGGCGGTAGGCGACGACCAGCACGAGACGATCAGATTGCGCCAGAGCCGATAGTTGAGTTTGGAGCAGCCGCATGTGATCAGCGTCGAAACGCCGATGCCACCAAGGGCGAGGACGTGAAAAACCCAAAAGGTGTACGAGATGTGGCCCGAGTACATGTACAGTTCGTTGGAGGCCATGATGGAGAAAACAATGGCAAACCAAGCAACAAATGCAAGGTGCCGCGCCACCATCAGGCCCGACGAGTTGCCTGATGAGCCTGCCGTCGAAATCGTTGCTGTCGGCGGGTGCGGTGAGCCGAGGAGCGCCATCGGCGGCGAGGCCTCGCTCCGCATGCTTCCGCTAGTCACACCCGGCAGACTTGCGTTTCCACCCGCCGGCGAGCCTAGCAGTGGGGCCGAGGCGTGACTTGAAGCCATCCCGCTTCGTGAGTTGCGGTCCAGAAGCTTGGCCCGTTCGCGCTGCGCCGCCGACCGCTTCGCCGCCAACGCGTGGATCCGCTGCGCAAGATACACGATCCGCAGCCAGAGAAAGCCACCCACAAGCAGGCAGCCGAGCATCTCAGCGTAGAGCGTACCAAAGATAAAGCCCCAGTCGTCGCCTGAAATCCAGCAGTACATGTGGTGCGGGCCAAAGCCATTGGCCACTAGCGGAATGAGCGTCATGACTACCGCGTACATAAACCCGATCGAGACCTGCACAGGCCATGTAAAGACCACAGAGAGTGCATCTGCCCGCCGCTGCTCAAGCGCTGCTGCCCGCCGTGTCAGAGACAGCACGTGCAGGCCCTTTCGCACCACCATGCGGTAGAGGTTGACTGCGATGAGCAGAAAGAAAATGATGCATGACGAGCCAAAGAACTGGATGAACACCGCTTGCAAATGGCAAAGAGACCGTGAGGCAAACACTTGTTCGAGCGACACCCACGACGTGCTGATCAGCAGCCCAACGGTGAGCCCGAGTGCAGAGAGGCAGAAACAGAGCGTGAGGACTTGCCCCAGCGACGACCGCTTCGTTGGGAACACCGCAAACGTAAGCACGACCAGAAACGAAGAGACCAGCGACGCATACGACATGACACGAAGCAAGCGGAGCAGCCGCTGCCCTTCGTCCACCGTCAGCATCCTACCCGTTTCGCCTCGCTCTGCTACCGCCGTCCCCTCTTGCCTCGCTCGCTACGAGCTTGCGCCTCGCAGAATCCGACTCGCGCCCTTGGCACGCCTTTTCGCCTCCTTTGCCACCACCACCTGCAGCAATAGCCACAGCACCCCCAAGTCAGTCACGTCTACCCGAGTGACGCGTTTGAGAGCTGCCTAGTAGGGCAGGTGTGTGCGCGTGCGTGTGCTTGGGATGTCTGAAAAGCCCTGACTCGAGGACGCCAAGTCTCAGAGTCAGGTGGAGGACGAGCGGACTCGCGTCGCGTTGGACGGCATGAGAGTGTGTCCAACACGTGCCCGCGCATCGAAAAACACCACGTCCTTTATCGTCTCATCCCGAGTGCTCACACCAGCTTGGCGAGGAAGCGCAGGACAGTGACCTTAAAGTCGGTCCACGGCGGATAGAGGAAGAACGGATCAAAGAAGCCAAACATCTTGCGAAGGACCGGCTTCTCGTGGGTAAAGGTGTCAAAGGTGGCCTTGCCGTGGTACGCGCCCGAGCCCGACTCGCCGACGCCCCCAAATGGCAGCTCGGGATGGGTGCAGTGGAAGAGCGTGGCGTTGATGGTGCAGCCACCAGCCGAGGTGTTGGTCACAATCCGCTGCGCCACGTCCTGGTCGTTGGCAAAGACGTAGAGCGAGAGCGGCTTTGGCCGCGAGTTGACGTGGTGGATGGCCGCGTCCATCGAGGGCACGCTCACAACCCACAGAATCGGGCCAAACGTCTCGTCGTCAAGCGCTGGGGAGTCCATCGGAACCATGACCACGGTCGGCTCAAAGTACCGCGACTTGAGGTCATAGTGTCCACCATGGATGACCTCGCCGCCGCTCTCTTCGAGCATGTTCACGATCCGCCGCATCTGCGAGTCGCCCACAATCCGCCCCACATCGGCCTCGGAGGCGTAAAACTGCCCCATCCACTGCCCCATCACCTCGGCCATAGCCCGCGCCACAGACTCGTGCGCAAGCACATAGTCCGGCGAGATGCACTGCTGTCCGGCGTTCATGCCACGACCCCAAACCGTCCGCTTAGCCGCCAGCGCAATGTCCGCCGACGCATCCACAAACACTGGGTTCTTCCCGCCAAGCTCAAGCGTGACTGGCGTCAGGTGCTCCGCCGCAGCCCGCGCCACAACCTTGCCCACCGTCGGTGAGCCAGTGAAGAAGATTTTGTCCCACTTGTGTTCCAGCAGCGCCGCCGTCGTCGTCCGGTCTCCCTTCATCGCCGGGCCGATGACAGACACCACCCGCGGGTCCATGTACGTCGCAAGCAGCCTCTCCAGCAGCGCCGCCGTCGCGGGCGCCACATTGCAGGGCTTGAGCACCACGTTGTTGCCCGCAGCAATCGCGCCAGCCATCGGCACGAGCGCGAGCTGGAACGGAAAGTTCCACGTCCCAATCACAAGTGCCGTCCCGAACGGCTCCTTCACAATGTAGCTCGACGCCGGGAACGAGAGCAGGTTGATGCCCTTGCACTCGGCCGCCGCATACTCGTCGAGGTGCCCAAGGAGGTGGTCGATCTCGTGCACAACCCCCAGCACGTCGTAGAAGAGCCCCTCAAACTTGGGCCGCCCCAGATCCGCCGCAAGCGCACCCAGCATCTCAGCCTCGTTCTCCACCACAAGCTGCCGCAGCGCACGCAGCTGCTCGCGCCGCTTCGTCAGCGGCCGCGTCAGCCCCGTCAGAAACACAGCCCGCATCTCCTCCACGAGCCCGTCTACATGCTCCAGTGTCAGCTGCGGCACCACGCCCACAACCTCTAGCGCGTGCGGGAGTTCCGCCACAAGCACATGGCGGTCGGCCCCAAAGCCCAGCGCTGCCCACACAAAGTCAGGCGGCGAGAGCAGCGACAGCGCCGTCGTCACAACCTCCACAAGCAATGCAGCAATGTGCAGTATCTTGCCCACAGGCCCCATGGTATCTATTCAAGTCCTTCGAGTTGGGTCTGGGGGGGGTGTTCCCCCCCCCCCCCCCCCCCCCCCCCCCCCCCGCCATCCCCACGAAAAACCTGCGTTCCTCGCCACTCGCGCCGCACCTATCCCCGCTCGCATACCGCCATACCACACTGCCGCAATCCTGCAAGCATTTGCTCCAGCTATCGCGTAAATAGCTCCTCATCCACAACGTGGCGGAGCTTGGCTGCACACCGCGCTGCCCGGAGTAGTGTCTGATTCGAGAGGCCCCGCCACGACACGGCATCGGAGGCAAAGCCCAGTGCGTGCCCCGACGACGAAGCAATGTCTGCCAGATCGGCCAAGATGGCTCGGACCGAGAGCGACGTCCGCGCCTGCCGCCGCTGGACCCACTTGCCGCTGCTTGCTGCGTCGTTAGCCAGCATCGGCTCGCCATTGCCGTTGCCGTCGCTCTCGTCACTGCTACACACTTCCTCGGCATTGCCGTCGCGCTCAATCCACACATGGTCCCGATAATAGCCCGCCTCCAGCCCACGCGCAGCCCAAGCCTCAAGTGCATCGGCGGCGCGCTTGCTACATGCTGCTACATGCGCGTCAAACGCCTGCCGCGGCAACCAAAGCGCATGAACCACCCCACCTGCCCGCCCGCTCACAGGGAGGACCGCCGGCGGTGGCCCGAGGCCGCCGATGAAGGAGTAGTGTGCGACAACACCGAGCGGATCGCCGTCTGCGGTGTAGATCGAGACTTGGCCATGGACAACAAAGACAAGTTGGTCAGCGGGTGCGCCTGCAGCAAACATCTCCTCACCCACACCGTACACCACATGCTCAAACTCGGCGCGAAGTGCTACAAGCTGCGAGAACGAGAACCGCGGCCGATTCGCCTCGGAATCCTCGCCGTTGAGCGCCACGTCCAGTGCGTCGTGGACAGCGCGCTCGTTCGCCACCTTGTACGCTCGATCACGGAGCTTGGCGCGTTCAGCCGGAAAGAACTTGAGCGTCTCCGAGAGGTGCTTGCGTGAGAGCGTGTAGACCGACGCAAAGCTCAGCGCTGAGTAGCCAAACGGCTGCGAGAGGTGCGGGAGCAGGAGCGCGGTCACGCCAAACACCTCACCAGCCGCCAATCGGTTGAGGACCTTGCCCGATTCGACTCGCGCTACGTGGCCCGACTCGACAAAGTACATCCGGCCGCCCTTGGCGCCTTGCTGCACAATCATTTCGCCCGGCGAGAACAGCGTGGCCTTGAGGTGGACGGCAATACTCTCCACAAACCCGTCCGAGGCCTCGGCCAGAAACGGAACCTGACTCAGCAGCTCGGCCTTGAGGCACATCGCCACGTCGCGCTTGAGCTGCTCGGGTAGCGCCGCGTACACCGCAAACGCGCCCTTGTCCTCCTCGCGCTCGTGAACCGTGAGAACGTGTGACTTGATGGCGTCGGCAAGCTCGGTTGGCAAGTTGCGCTGTTTGATAAAGGCCGTAACCTCACGCGACTTGGTCGCCAGCCGCGCGTCCTTAGCCCCGGCCTTGACAATGAGTCGCGAAATCGCACTGATCACCGTCGCCACCACAAACAGCGAGAGGACGGCAATGCCCAGCTCAAAGCCGCGCTCAAACTGGGTGACCGGCTTCAACGGCGTACCGCCCTTGTTCGTCACCTGATTGAGCGCCCAAAAGTACGCCGCCACAAACTGCTCCCACAGCGGTGCATTCTCTCGCTCCGTGGGCGACGACCACGACGTTGCTCCGAACCCGCGCTCGTACTCGATGCTCGTGTAAACGCATCCAATCCAATGCACGAGGAGGAGAAGTACTACGAGCAGAAAGAGCAGCCGCGTCCGGAGTAGATGCTGCGACCGCTCATCCCATGCCCGCACAAACCGTCGCATCTCTAAAAGCCGCAGCAGGCGTGGCAGCCGCAGCGTTGCGTGTAGCCAGACCGGCGAAAGAAAGATCCAGTCGAGTGGGAGTGATGCCAGCGCATGGAGCGGAAACCGCGTGCGCAAGTAGTGGCCCCGAATCTTGCCGTAGTCGAGAATGGGAATGCTGCGGTCGACGTAGACAGAGCGAAAGTGGAGCACAATGTCGGCCAATAGAACAACGTCGGTAAAGGCTGAGAAGACGTAGAAGAACGTCTGGTCCAGCTGCCACATCTTGCGGTATGCAATTCGCATCGGCACCGTCACTCCTTGCACCACCACCACCAGGAGTAGAAACAAGTTCCAGTACCGCCGATGCTTCGATGAGAGCGACTCGAACCGGAGCAGGAACAGCTTGATTCGCATGAGCAGCGTCAGCCGCTGCACCACGCCTTCACCCCCGCTGGACGCCAGCTCCAACTTGGCTTGCGGAAAGACTCGCGCCGCAGTCTGTGGCTCCATCTTGAGCTCGTTGACCCTAACCAGACCTGCATCTCGGCGGTGGTCCCTGCCGCTTGCTGGTGAATGCCGCCGTCGCCCGTCGCGCAGCGATGCATGCTTTCCAATCGTTGACACCAACACCGGCGTCGCCAACGGCTCCGGCCCAGAGGCTGCACAATCTACGTCGTCGTTGGCAACTCCGCTCTGCGCCTCGACCTCGATCCCGCCTCCGTCACTCCCGGCAGCATTGGACGAGGCATGTGACGACAGGTACGAGTCCGAGCTGAGCCGGCCGCGGACCGAGACATGGTCCGATGCCTCCTCGGCCGCCGTGCGATCCTTGCTCTTAGCGACCTCTGTTCTGAGAATAGCGTCCCCGGAACCCGTGCCAGCCCTTCCATCGGAGCTTGATCCCGTGTACGACTCGTAAGTGTAGGCGTAGGCGTAGGTGTAGCCCTCTTCGGCCGACGACGCCAGCGGCGTCGGAGAGTCGAGCACCGACGACCCGCTCTCAGACGACCGCATCCGGTGCCTGCTCTCCTGTGGCATCACACTGCTAGGCTACGGGACTCCGACGTTGTGTGTGGCGGTGCTGCTGCGAGACTGAGAGGAGTGCCGGTGTCGTTCTCTGCCTTGTCCGCGCAGGGTTGAGCGCTCGCACCCCCCAACTCACGCCCCACTCCACTCTCGCGCCAACTCCCTCGAACGCCAGCAAGCCATGTGGGAGCGAAGCGCCTTGCTGGTGGCGCTCGCTCTGGGACTGGCACTCCAGGTCTACTTGGCTCACTCGATGTTGGGCACCAAGCCGCCACGAGGCGCCCGCGACGGGCTCGTCGCTTCGCGGGGACTCCGCGCCGACCTAGGCGACTCGGCCGCCATCGCCGCCGCCGCTGCTGCTTTACCAGGTGCAAAGCATCAATCGATGGCAGAGTATGTGGCCATGCGGAGCCGCCGCTCTGGAGTCGCCGCGGCGTATCTTCGGGCCGTCTGCCTCGACGACGGCATCGCTGGACTCGACGCCCGCGATGCGCGCCTCCTTGCACCGGATCTTCCAGGTGGCCGACTCGCCATCGAGCCTGCGCTGCCGCCGCACATGGCCAACATCGCATTTCACGACGGCTCGGACGGCATCGCTTTGCAGGCGGTCGAGCTTCCATGGCTCACACCGGCCTCGGGTGATTGCTCGTCGGCGTGTCGGGAGTCGCTGGCGGAGGCTCTGGACGGCACAAGCTCGTCGCCGGGCCGCAGCGCCGAGCTGCTGCCGTTTGATGTGGTTCCGATTGGCTCGCGCGATTACAGGGCATCGTTGGCACATCTCGCGGATGCCTTGGATCCTGACCACCAGCTTGAGCCGTCGATCGAGCTCGAGACGCGGCGAGTTCTCAGCTTGCCCAACGTTGTCCTGGACAGCGAGTGCAGCCACGTTTTGCTCACTCCGCCGGCTGGCATTGGCACTGCATCCAAGCTCTTCCAGCTCAAGTACGCGCATGCGATGCGCCTTGGCCTTGACGCCATGGTCGATGTTGCCGCCGAGGCCTGTGTCGTTTTTCTGGTTGATCCGACCGGTCCCGGCTTTGGCCGCAGTGGCCCGGCGTCTTACCACCTGGCTGCAGTACTTGTCCATGGCTACATGTCTGGGATGTCGACGCGCTACTCGATCCATTCGCTCTCCGCATGGCGGGCTCTGGAGAGTCCCGTCTCGGTTGTTGTTCCGCGGCTTGTCGTGCTTTGCGCTAGACTTGATGCATTGGCCGATCCGTGGCTGGATGCGGTGCTTCCTGCCGCCGCAGAGACGTGGCTGCTGGGAGATGACACCGGCGCGGCGATGAAAGCGCTGAACTTTGTCCACGCCAGTGACCCCGACATCCATCCCCAGCAAGCGCGCATGGTGGCGTACCTTGCCAAAAGCCGCGAGCTTTTTGGGGGTGCCTTGGCGGCGACGACGCAGGCTTCGCGGATCGCTCCACCCCCGCCTCCCGCCTCGACGCCTCGCCTGGCCACGAGTTGTGGAAGCATACGCATCGGGATATCCCCGGTGCTCAAAGTTGGTCTTGACCAGTTTCGCAAGCTGAAGGCTGCCCGCAGCTCGCACATCGAGCACCTCACTGTCGGGGTTGTCAACGATGCGCTTGGCATCGCCAGTGTCGATGTCTTTGTCGGGTTACTTGACGATACCGACTCGTGGCCCGCACTGCTGGCTCCGGCAGCTGCGCGAGTTTTGCTCTACTCCTCAGCAGCGCCGCTCGCAGGGCGAGCCCTTGACACGGTCGCCGTCGCGAGTGCCGGTGGTGCGACGGTGTCTGTTATCGACTCCCCGTCGCACCCCAAGGCTGTTCTTGCAGGCCTCCAAGCTGTTGTTACGAGTGTGTGTGAGGAGCGGGTAGGTGTTATGTAAGCGGTGGGGCACTACCTACGCGGCTTGCCGTTGCCCTTGCGCTTCTTTCCAGCACGCTTGGCCTTGGCGTCGGCGATGGCCTTGCGCTTGCGGTTCTGGTTGACGATGACGGTAGGGCGGCCAAAGAACGAGTCGAGGTGGGTCTGCGAGCCTTTTGCCTTCTTGCGGATGTCCTTGATCTTCTGGACCGCGCGGGAGATGCGGACGGTGTCAAAGCCCTTCTCCTCGACAAGATACTGCATGAGGCCGGTCTCGTCAAGGCCAGCCTCGGCGTTGGCCTTGAGGTCGACCTGGTCGGCCGGCATCACGTCCGGGTCCGTAAAGAGGCGGCGGGCGACGGCAAAGTTCCAGTTGTCGGGCACAACGTACTTTGTCGTGTCGATCTTCTCGAGCATGCCCTCGATAGATCCGTACTGCTTAATGAACTGCAGGGCGCGGACCGGGCCGATGCCGCGGATCGAGTCACAGTAGTCGCAGCCACACAGGATGCAGACGTCAATGAACTGCGCCATGGTAAGCCCGAGACCCTGGAGCGCGCGCTCAAGGTCCAGCTCCATGATGTCGAGCTTGCGCGCCGCAGACGCCGTCAAGTTGCGCAGCAGAATCGGTGACCCAAAGGTGAGTGTGTCGGTATCTTCCGAGCCGGCAGCAAAGACCTTTCCAGCCTTGGCCAGCGCCGCGCACTGGGCCTCAGCCTCGGACGGCGCCTCAATCCACGGCACGCCCATGAGTGTGAGCAGCCGCTGGCACTCGGCCATGTGCTCCTTGGTCACCCGCAGCGTCCGCTTCGAGAACTTTTCGATCGCTTCGGCGTCGTCGGCCTTGGTTGCCTTGAGCAGCTCAGCCTCGGCCTTTGCCCGCGCCTCGCGCCGCTTCACCAGCTCCTCGGACTTCATCTCGGGCGGCTTGCCGTCAAACACGTACAGCGGCTTGATACCCATCATCATCAGCCGAATCGTGCGGTACAGCAGGCCCACAAGATGCGATGTCTCGGCACCGGATGCATCCGTCAGCATCATTCCGTCCATGCCCGGACGAACCGCAATCTGAAACACAAACACCACATTCAAGGTGAGGCATGTAGAATCTTTCCTCCTCCCTCCCCTCCCCGCCTCCCCCTCCCCCCTCTATCCAACAATCCCCAGCCCCCGCCCCCCTGCCCCCCCCCCCATACACCCCGGCTGCCTTCCACACCCTCCCCACACCCCTCTCCCTGTACTACTGCTCTTCTGCGTACCATGAACTGATAGATGGACATCGAGGCGTCGATAGCAATACGGCGGCCTTGGTAGGCCCCGATCTTCTTATACGTGATGGCCTCAGGCGCATTGTCCGATATCAGCCGCGTCAGGCCCTTAATTCCCATGCTATTGCGGGTTGAGAGGAATAGAGAGAGAGAGAGAGTGTGTGTGTATGTGTGTGTGTGTGTGCTTACGGCCCGGAAGCAATATCCGAGAGAAGCGTTGTCTCCGTCTCCAACCTGCATTGCGTTGTCGGCGACTGTGCGACTTGGCAGCCGGCAACACACAGCTCGGCTCCGCCCGCCCGCCCCGTTCTACCCTCCAACTCCCCCCCCCCCCCCGCAGCTTGCTTGGCAGCAACTCCCCAAAGACAACACAGCTTCTCTTCCTCTCTCCCTCTCTCTTCCCTCTTCCCCCTTCTCATACTTTCTCTCCACATGGGCGTCTCGTTCCGGTGGCTGACCCAGCTCGACGCCGACTTTCCGGTGGCCACCTTCTCTATCGACGTCGAGTGCGTGGCCGACGGACCCGGGTATGCGGACCGGATGGTTGCGCGGGTGGCGGTGGTGGACGAGACGGAGCAGACGGTACTGGACGCACTGGTGTCGCCATCGAGGCCGGTCTTCTCGTACCTCACCCCGCTGACGGGGCTGACCGAGGCCGATTTTGCCGACCCAACGAGGACGGTGCTGCCGTTTGACGAGACGGTGGCGGCGGTCCGGGCCTTGCTCCCGCGTAACGCGCGGCTGGTCGGGCAGAACATCCACAAGGACACAACATGGCTGGGGCTGGTACCCGGGCGAGACTATGAAGAGGCCATTGATATCGGCAAGCTTTTCCGCGTCGAGGCCCCGCCTTGGTTCCGCCGCAAGTTCACCACGTTTTCCCTGCGCCACGAGGTTCTTCACTTGCTCGGCGTCGACATCCAGGCCGGCGTCCACGATCCAGTTGTCGACGCACTCTACTCGCTCCGCCTTTGGGCCGCGTACGGCCTTGCGGGCGACGAGATGCGCCTCCAAGTTGCGCGGGCCCATCTTGCGGCTGTGCCAAGTACGCCTTCGTTCTCGCGCATCATGCCCGTCATCGACGGGGTGGCCATGAGCCGGTCGGCGACGCCGGCAGTGTCGCCGGCTGTCTCGCCGGCAGTGTCGCCACCGTCGTCGCCGCGCGCTGCTGCGCCACCAGCCAATTGACTCCTTGATTAGGTCGTGGCCAGCCGTGGTCAGCTGGCTTTCTCCAGCTCCCGTGCCCGCTTGGCCCGGACTCGCTCGAGGTTGGCCTTCAGGCCGTCCTCGTGAAAGACAAACTGGTCAGGCTCAAAGGTCGAGACCTTGAATGTGCAGGTGATGGTGCCGACGACCGAGGCCACAAGCGTCTTGATGTCGTGTGCCGACTCATCGGGATACTTGGCCTCGACGAGCGCCGTCACCTCGGGCACCACCAGATACGGATCCCACGATGGTGGGATGGAGCCACGCGGCCGCATGATGCCGGACAGTGCGTGCGGGCCGCGAGCAATGAGAGTGATGACCTGCGCGAGGTGGTCTGAGTCCATCGACCGGTGGCCAGCTTCGCCGAGGATATTTGCCGCCGCCAGCGGGGTTGCCGGCAGCTCGTCCTTGGCCTTGCCGGCAAACACGCTTGGAATGGTGGCATCCGAGACAAGAGTGGTGACAAGGCCCATACCGGCCTCGCCCGCCGCGTCGCCCGCCGGCTTTGCCGCCGCTGCACTCTCAGCCTGGCCTTTGTCGACCGAGCCTCCTTGGGCCTCGTCGCCTTTGCTCTCAGTGACTGCCGGCGCCGACTTGTGCTTTGCTGTCGGCATGCCGCGCCAGACCTTGAACAGCCGGTGGCACTCATTCTCGATAAAGAGACAGATTGCGGCGCGAGCGTGGATCAGCTCGAACAGCTCGACCTTGTCAACCTTGTCAAAGAACCGGTACGCCACCTCGAACCGGAGCCGCGTCATCATGCCTGACTCGTAGGTAAAGTCGGCAAGGACAACCGACTCGTGCTCGCCAAGCATGGCAAAGGCTCGGCCGGTGATCCGGACCATGAGCGACTCCCAGAACAGGTTGAGTCCACGCGTGTCGGCGCGGTGGTACAGCTCCGCCAGTCGTCTCGTTCCGCGCTCGCCCACAATTGTCTGCAGCGCTGGTTCCTCGGACATCATGGCGCGGCAGCCAGTGAGGCGGGCGAGGAGCCCCTCGGCAACGGCAGCGGCGATGGCGTTGATGTGGGCGTCGTCGGCCTGCGACGGGAAGCCGACCCGGATCTCGTTGAAAATGGCGCTCACCATGGCGTGCCAGAACGGCGGCGCATCGCCAGGCTCCTCGCCTGCGTTGCGCAGCACGTCGTCAGGGCAGGTGAGCGGCGGCAGGTCGGCCTTCAGCGCCTCGGCCATGACCGCGTCCCAGTCGGCCGGCCACTTGTTTGGGTTGGCCGGCGGCTGCGCCCGGGCGCCGCGCTTGCAGAACGCGCGGTGCGTCTTCCAGTCAGCGCGCTGGCATTCGACCGAGCAGTACTTGGCAGCCTTGCACCGCGAGCACCGTAGGTAGTTGGGCAGGCCGAGCTCACCGCCATGAGCGAGGCCTGTCCGTGCCCGTTCGACTTTGGCCGGCGCCGCGCCCGCGTCCTGCTCGAGGCTGTTTGGGCAGCCCAGCCGCCAGCAGCCCTCGCAGACCTTGAGCAGGTGCATCAACATGGCAACCATACGGTCCCATCCGGCCATGGCCTTGGCGCCCTCTTGCAGTGCCGAGTACAGCGCCATCGCAGCCTGGGGACCCTTGCCGTCGGCCGACTCAACTGCCAGCCGCAGACGCTCCGCCCGCTCCGCCCGCAAGTGCACCGCACGCACAAGCTCCGAGCACAGCTCCCTGCGCGAAAACATCGTCATGTTGGCCTTTCTACTTTCCTTGCCAAACACGTCAGAGCCCAGCCCGTACGTGAGTAGCCCCCCACGAGCCCAGTCGAGTCTGGCCGTCTTGCCGCCTGCCGTGCAACCCACCAACTGTTGAGCCGGGAAGGCTCTCGCTCTCGCCCTCGCTTCGACGGACACTCACGATGGTCGGCTTCGGTTGGCTGTACCTGCAGCGAACGAGCGAGCGTCCTCCCCCCTGTCTCTGCACCACTTCTCTTCCCCTCCCCCTTCCCCCCCTCCCGTACATGGGTCTGGCCTCTCGGCGCTGCCTGCGCGCCGCCATCCGCGCTACCTTTGCTTCGCCCCTACCGGCCCTGCTCGCGCTCGTCGTCGGCCTCACCTGGGTCGCACTTGTCCCGGGCCTGCTCAACTCGACATACGTCGATGAGAATGCACTGCTGCCCAACGCCGGTGCCACAACTCTCTCGCGCGGTGACGTCGACCGAGCCCTCGCCAGCCTCCGCCCGACGCTGGCCCTCGGCCCGGACGCCGCGTCTCCGGCTCACGCCGCCCTCGGCTCGGCCCTCGCTACGGCCCTTGCCACTCGCCTTGGCGTCCGCTTCTACTCGCACGGATATGCTCTTCATGCACCGCGCGCCGCCGACGGGTCGATGTGGGCTGGTGCAAACGTGTATGGCGTTTACACCCCGCCGCGCGCTGACGGCAAGGAGGCCATCGTGATCACGACGGCACTTCCGCTCGCAGACTGGGACGCCTTCCTAGCCTCCACGCCTTCAGCGTCTCTGGATGACGCTGCTGCCCGCCCCGGTGGTGCTGTAGGTCTTGAGGCCCTTGTTGTGGTGGCTCAGGCGGTCCAAGACGCGCGCTGGATGTCGCGCTCGCTCATTGTTGTCCTCACCGATGCTCCGGCTTGGGTTGCCGACCACCGGCCGCAGCTCGCCCTTCCACCGAACCTCGCGCGATCCATTGGCTTGCAGGCCTGGATGGATGCGTACTACGCAGCCGGCCCGGCTGTCGATGGTCACCTTCGCTACGATGCCCTCCACGCCCGCGCCGGCGCGCTTCTTGCAGTCCTCGGCATCGAGCTGCCCGACACTGGAGTGGCCTCGTGGGCGATGGACGTCGTTGGCATCGACGGCCTTCTTCCCAACATGGACCTCGTCAATGTCGTGGTCCAGGTCGCGAATCACCGCGGGTCGGCGGTCGCTTACCCGTCGCCGCGGGCCGAGCTAGTCCCGTACTTGCGGGCGCTTGTTCACGTGGCGGGCATGACCTCGTACCACGCTCGCATCCTCTGCAATGTCTTTTCGTTCCTCGCTGTCCAGGCGGCTTCGGTTCCGCGTGCCGCCACCGGTGTGGTGGCGGCTCACGCTGTGCCGGCGCTCTCGCTTGTTGCCGTGCCGAAGGAAGTTACGGGAGGCTCGGCCGATCTCGCGCTGCTCACGACCGACATCACTTTGGCTGCCAACACGCTCTTAGCCACGCTGCGCTCTCTCTCCAACCTCCTCGAGTCTCTGCACGCCTCGTTCCGACTGTACGTGCTCGGCACCGAGCGGCTGTTTATCTCTTACGGCGACTACGTGTGGCCGCTGGCCTGCGTGGTCGCCACTGCGCTCCTCGCCGCCATTGCCGCCTACCTCCGCGTATCGGCTGGCATTTTCGCCTTTAGTCGGAGCGGTGGCCTTCGGCAGCTTGCGCTTTCGGTGCTCTGCGTATGGACAAGCGTGCACGCCGTGCCTGTGCTTGTCCTTGCCTTCCTGCCTCAGCTCCACCACCTGGCGCACGCGCTAGTGCCGCCGCTTTTTGCCTCGGTTGCGGCACTTGCGTTTGCGGCCGGCGCTGTATGGCTGACTGCGCTTGTTGCACTCCCTGCGGTGGTAGCGACGCTGTCGCCGCCGTCGCACCTGTTCTGGCTCTCCATCAAGTGCATCATGCTTCTGGAGGCCGTTTGGGTCATTGTCTGTGGCTCGCTGCTCAACCTGGGCCTCTCGGCTGTCTTTGCGCTCGTTCTCTGTCTGTTGTACGTGCCGACCGGGCCGTTTGTGCCGCCAAGCGATGCTGGCCCAGCGCGCACGGCGATATCTTGGCTGCTCAATGCGCTGCAGCTGGTCGTGATGGTGACAAGCTCGCCGCCGGTGGTGCTGGGTGGATGGGCGACGATGTTGTGCAGCGGCGAGTTTGCTGCTTTAAGCGCACTGGGACATGCAATCGACGCTGTAGTCTTGCAATGGCTCTACCAGCCGACCGCGCTCTTCCACCTGGTGTTCTTTGTGTACTGGCCGCTTAACGCGACTTGGACGGCGTGCCTCATGCACAGTCTTCTTCCGGCGAGCTGAGCTCCAGAAAGTGGAGAATCGAAGCCATGGCCGCGGCGTTGGTGGACGCGTGGTCGGTGACGCCTGCAGACACGCACGCCACACCCATCCAGTCCTTGTCGCCCAGTGGTGTATCCAGCGGCGCCTGCGACGCCAGCCAGTGCTTGGCGTGCGCAGCAAGCCAACTCGCGCCATCGCCGGTCGGCTTATACAGCGAGTCAGTGAGCGCGAGCTTGGAGACACGAGTGGTAAAGTCAGTAGCGAGAGCCGGATGCGCGAGCAGAGCCTGGATGCATCGCCCGCCGTACGAGTGGACCATGACGTCGACGCGGGTGACCGAGGACAGGCCGATGTCGTCGGCGAGCGGCGAGTCGGGCGCAGTGGCCAGCTGCCACACTGTCGCCACGTGCGCCTCGCGCGACTCGGATCCCACCAGTGGGTGGCCGTCGGCGTCAAAGTTCTCGTTCGGGTTGCAGACAAGGACGCCTGCGCCGGCCGCCACCGCCGCTTCGACGTACGGCAGCATGGTGCCCTCGTTGAGCGAGGCGGTGCGGCAGAGAGTCCGCGACCACTGTCCCATGCGGACGCCGCCCGAGCCCTGGATTAAAACTAGTGCCCGCGTCGCCGTCGAGAAGTCGGGCGAGGCGAGGACGTAAGAACCGCCAGGGAGCGGAACCCTCCGCAGCGCCAGCGGCGCCGCCGTCAGTAGCGCCACCACCAGCGCCTGCACCGCCGCCACACCGGCCTCGCTCGCCGCAGCCTCACTCGGCCCCGTCACCGCCCGTGACGATGGATCGTACCCAAGGCCTGCGGCCTCGAGCGCCTCCAGCGCTGCGGGCAGAGTGATATGTGCGGCGGCCATCAGGAAGCGAGAGAAGTGGTCGTCTGCTCTGCGTATCGTGCATGTTGGCTTGGTGTTTGGCAACTTTTGCTTTGCTTTGCTCGCTGCGCCGACCGTCAAGGTCGGCGCGGCGGCGACGGGGGAAGGGGAAGGGGTCTGTTGGGCTCCTCCGCTATCAGGGGCATGACTCACTATGGGGAGCAAGGATGAGCGTGCCGCGCTGGGCCATGGACTTGAGGGCGGTTCGCAAGGCGGATACAGCGGCGGCAACGGCGGCCGGGTCGGCCGAGAGAGCGGCAGAGGCACCATCGAGCACGTCGGCCCGCGGCATCGGGCCTTCGGCGATCGAGGTATCAGAGGCCGCAAGCGCGAGCGAGGCGACAGCGAGGACCGACGGGTAAGTGGTGACAAGCGATGCGTCGTGGCAGGCGAGCTCGATGTAAAAGTGAGCCCGAGTGCGAAGCGCCTCGCGGGTTGGCGGCGGCGCGGCGAGCGACGGCAGGAGTGACTCGACAAACAGGTGCGGAGTGACGTCGTTGACGCGCCAGCCCATGTGGTGGAGAACAAGCGCCTCCATTCTGCGCAGCCTGACCGTTGGGCAGGGAACGAGGGCGGCAATGAGGTCAAAACAGGTCTTACCCTCGGGCTCGCGCACCTTGCAGGCAATCAGGAGTGCGGCGCCGGCGACGAGGCGAACATGCTTGGGCCGGACCTTGATGGCAGCCTCCATGCGGTCCATCAGCGCAACCGCATGGAAGAAGGTCTCCGAGCCGAGTGCTTGCGCCTCAGCCACTCGCAGCAGCCAGACGACAGCGTTGTAGCGGAGCGGGACGTGGGCTGCACGGACCGATGCGTGGGACTCGGCGTACCGGGTCTCCATCGCCAGCAGATTGACCACATACTCGGGCCCGTACTCTGCCTGCGCCAGTTCGGTCCTGCTTTGTAGCGCTGCGGCGTTGTCCAGCTCGCTGCCGGCGGCGGCCTCGGCGGCCTCGTTATCGTCCTCGGCCTTTGGCGGCGAGCCGGGGTGAGGATGCCGCGCCGAGGCCAACTCGGCGGCGGGGGAGGAGGTGGGCCCCAAAGCCGAGCGACATGGGGCCATCGGCTCGGGCCGCAGCACCTCTGACGACTCGAGCGGCGGTGGGAGAAGGGCGGCCTTGTCATCCTCACTCAGTGGTGTCGACGGCGGAGTGCGGGGCTGTGGCCCTGTCGAGTAGATTCTACGGCGGGCCAGGTGCATGGCAGGAGACGGTGTGGGCAAGGTGGAAGGGGGGCGGAAGGGGGGGGGGGGGAGGGAGGAAGGGAGGAAGGGAAGGGAGGTTTCCGTGCTGAGCAGGTAGGGCCAGACAGACAGGCCAGACAGACAGACCAGGCCAGACAGACCAGACCAGGCCAGACAGACCAGACCAAGACATGGCGCAGACTCACCCTCTCCCCCTCCCCCTTCCCTCACACACAGGAGCAATATTCGCGCCTCAAGCGGTCGTATGGGCAGGTTGTCTCATCGCTCAACTCGTACGAGCGTGAGCGTCGCCGGACCGAGCTGACGCTGCGCGATCTGGCCGAGCTCTCGGCCGATGCCAAGACCTACGTCACCGTGGGCAAGATGTACCTTCACAAGTCAATGGACGAGGTCGTCGCCGAGGCCAACGCCAAGCTCGACGATTACAAGGCCAAGATCACAGAGCTGGACAAGACCAAGAAGGCTCTCGAGCAGCGTATGGCCTCCACCGAGAAG